CAACAGGCTGCTAAAAGCAACAGCCTGTTGAACCAAGTTATTGCAAGTCAAACACGACCCCAGGCGGGGCTTCAGTATGAAAATTCCCAAACCCACTGATGGTATACTCCAAGGGGGCACCACTGTACCTAGTGTCTCCTGGATAATTGGGGCAGGTTCTTCATTTCTTTTTGCTCTGGCTTACATTATAGTTTACTAGTTGCACAACTCTCATTGTATGCGAATTGTGATTGATATCCCGTTCATCTCCCTTGCCTATTATTGTCCCTTTGCTTCCCCTTCCCCCATTACCTACTTACCCGTATGCTGTGTCCGCTCTCCCCCCCCCCCCATTTTGCCACTTACTGTGAAATCAAGGCAGCCAACATCTTGGGTTATAAAAATACCAGAAACGGTCCTCAACCGAGAAGGATTAGCTTCGTATGCAGATGCAGAGGAGGTCGACATTACTGTTCTATGACTACTCCAAACGATACATGGATATGTATACAACATACAAAATCCTGATGGCAGACAGTTCGGGGTATAATTCTTTTTACAGTGCAGGCGATGAGTCACAATAACGTGGCTAAGGTATGATGACCAGACCACACACTAGAATGTGAACGGACGACGACGTTTCGGTCCGTCCTGGACCATTCTCAAGTCGATCTTTTTACAGTGGTTATCCTCAAGCTGTGGGGGGAGGAGTTATGATGCAGAGAGTAGTGTACAACAAGCAGGACGGACGTGCTTAAGACTAATTGTTGATGTTCATGGTGATAACAGGTGTTAAATAGGGGGTCGGAGTGATGTGCAGCCTCACAAAATTATTCCAAGAGTGATGCTGTATGATTATAACATAACGATTACTGGTGTCGTCGTAACTATTGAGTATTTCATTATCACGTGCAGGTAGAAGGGCGATTTACTGGAACTTGTGATGATGCTGTACGTGTCTGTCTCTAGCATCCCCGACGCGTGGGGAGAAAGTGGCTTAGTCGGGCCACAATATAGGAATATAGGATAGTTAAATTAAATTTTGCCCCGAGGGGCAAGTTTATTGGGCAGCGCCACTCATCTTGTGAGTGGACACACCGCCATAGCAGCATATACAACACTCCCCAATAGGAAGAAAACCCGCTGGGTTAAATATAAAAAAGCAAATATATTGAATATGCGACAGCCACTTCACAGGCCCTTTCCCCCTTGAAAAGCATATAAACATTTCCTGTGCCAGAAAGTTTATTAACAGAACGAGACACTTTCACAGTAAATATATATGAAACTAGTACTCCGGACATATTATAGACGGTAAATATAAACATGTCAACAGGCCTGGATTTAAGGCGTGCCGAAAGAAATCAGCGAGATGACAGGACAAGATGCTACAACAGAGCGACCTACACAGACGTGCACAGTGGTCTTTTGTTGTCTGTCTCCCATGTACGTACATGCACTCCCCACCCCACCCCGCTCTCCCCCTGCAATATCGCTGTTAGCAGTCAGCTTCTGACAAACGGTGACGGTATTCATGGATCAAATATGGTCCGATTACCAGGAGAGTATAGGTGGGAGTTGCAGGGTCTGTGTGTTATTGTAGTGTAAGGTTACCTGTGTGTCAGACACGTCTCATTAACTTCAACGAGATGTGGCCGAATTGGGAGATAATTACGAATAGCTAAGCAGTAATGAGCTCTTTTTATTGGCTGATGTGATGCCTAACACAGAATGTGCAAAATAGCCCCGGTTGAAAAGCGGAGATGCAGTAGCTATGCTGAGACAATTCTATCAACATCAAAGGCCCAAGACTCTTAAACACACTCCAGCTTCACGTAGGGGGCGTAACTGGCCTGCCTTTCACGGTGTTAGAGAGAACTCGATAAACACTTCCAAAAGATGCTTGATGAACCGGGCGATCAGCCGCAGCCAACAGTAGTCAAGTTGACTAGACCACCAACCAAGGAGGCCTGGTCAGAGACCGGGCCGCGGGGACGTTGAGCCTCTGAATCACCACAAGGTAATGTAAGGTAACTATGGCAAACCCACGAGGAAGATACGTTGCATGAAAACATAATCACCCTGCCCAACCCCGGTTGTTTTTATTATTATTATTATTATTATAAATTTTCACAATTTTCTTTCAATACATCAACAATTTTCACAATACTCGGCTGTGGGGCTACTAAATGAGTGCGTTTTCTACAACAGACTTCCAAGCATTTTATATCAAGGAACCAAGCGAATTAAACGATATTTTATCTGAAACATTTTGGACACCCAAATAGATTTTTTGTTCTAGCAAGAGGAAAAGAAGGAAAGTAATGTGCTAGATCCCCACCTCCCCTTCCCCCAGCCTAGGACCACCCTAGGTCCTAGGTTATATTCCCCAACTAGCAGCTACTACCTAATTTAGATAGTTTAATTAGCAGGTTTATTTGTAATACAAATTAGGGACTGTATAAAGCTTGCACGACCTCTGACGTATAAAAAACTAATACTTAATGAGGCAAGTCCTTACGCAGTAGCGAGGCCGGTCTCTCTACACTGTACAGGGAGATATCTGAGGAGCATACCTGGAGAGGGTTTCAAGAGTTCTGATATTCTCCGCGACTTGAGAGCTTGGTCTAACAGGCTGTTGCTTGAAGGGTGCCCGCAGGCCCTCATATCCACCACAGCCTGGTTGGTCCGGCACTTCGTGAACCTGTCAAAGTTCCTCTTTCATCCACCTTCGTTCCGGCAATATTTTTAAATCTTCAACCCATCGTCCTGTTTAGATATTACCTATTGTGGCAGTCGTCAATAGTCACGAATTCACGAAGGTTAGTTTAGTTTGTCTTTGAAATACACGTAAAAAAATAGTTTTCAGATTTGTCCAACTTAATAGTGCTGATTTCTACTTTTTAATTTCATTGTACGTTGGTTAATATACTACCTTACCTTACCTTAAGGTGCTTCCGGGGCTTAGCGTCCCCGCGGCCCGGTCGTCGACCAGGCCTCCTGGTTGCTGGGCTGGTCAACCAGGCTGTTGGACGCGGCTGCTCGCAGCCTGACGTACGAGTCACAGCCTGGTTGATCAGGTATCCTTTAGAGGTGTTTATCCAGTTCTGTCTTGAACACTGTGAGGGATCGGCCAGTTATGTCCCTTATGTGTAGTGGAAGCGTGTTGAACAGTCTCGGGCCTCTGATGTTGATAGGTTGATCTGATGTTGATACTATGGTCCTCATGGTTACTATAAGTAATACCAAAACAGGAGGATGTGCTGAATGCTTACTGGTAGGGTGTTGAACAGCCGTGGACCCCCCATGTTAAGGCAGTGTTCTCTGATTGTGCCACCTCTACTCCAAATTGGTATTGATAGTGTTATTTTGTTTCATATATACTTTTTGAGTTTGACAGGTACTGGCAGTAGTTACTCTGTTTGGAATGTTTCTTGAATTTATCCGTTAGCGCGTGTACTGTCATCTTTATATCATGTTCAGTATGAGTGCGGTATACCAGTGTGTTGATGGGAAGTTCGCACGTGAAACTAGATCGTAATGATTAAGGGTGTGGGCGGGGCTCTTGGTGGATATTGGCGTTCATTAGTGAGGGTTTAAGACACTCATAAGCAACAGGGCGATACAAGGCTCCTCACACATCAGGTCTTGTCCGCCACCCCCCATCCTTCCCGGCTTGCTTGTTCTACAAACACGGGCCAACCCGGGCTGTAGCGGGTATGTGGGCCTGCGGGCCAAGTTACAACTTTTAGACCCAAGTTATAACAAGTAGGACCACTCTTAGACTGCACTCCATGTATAGTCCAGGTATAATAGCTGGGTAAACCTTATGCTGTCCACTCTCCACCTCGGGGGGGGGGGGAGGAGTGTGGAGGCGGTGGCTTCAGGTGATGCCGGCAGTCAACAGACAACTGTCTCCTTGCTGGCATGCGAGTGGTAAGAACATTTTATGAACCAGGACATTCCTAGGACCCCCTCCCCCCTTGAACTCTACATTCTCCCTCCCCCCTCACACCTCCCTGTTCCCCCCCCCCTCACCCCTCCCTCTTCCCCCTCACCCTCACCCCTCTAAAAGGCAGATAACAAATTGATTTTGAGAGTTACTTCTTCTGGAGGGATAGTTTTGAATTTGTCAAAGTTTTGTATTTTTATCGACTACCGTTAGACATGTGCTATCACTTTTTTTTCTCTCTATTCAAACCCAAACCGTTTAAAAGCATACGTGTATTCATATTTTAATTAAATATGTAATTGATTTTTTTTACTTCATCCACAATTGATTGATTGATATGAAGTAAACGTTCTAAAAGTGACCATAACCAGACTGGGTAGTGCTAGTGTGTGTGTATACAGTCAACAAGTTGCATAAACCGCGGTATAGTACTGCAAATATATTTGCGTAAACCGCGGTATGGTACTGTAAATATATTGTCTACTACCTCGGGACATGTTGAGGCTTGTGGAGCCTACGAAAGCTCCTTACTCCCCCCCCCTCCCTCCCTGCCCAGGTGTATGTAACATCTCATTTTCTGATTTCTGATAAAGCAGCGAGGCTTGCCTATATTAGTGACTGGTTTGTGTTTCTGGTTGGACAAAACTGTTTAACAGTTGATGTCTTTGTACGACCAGCCGCAGTAGTTACAGGTACAGTGATGGGTGTGAGACAGTTATGATACAACAATTGCGAGTAAATGTCTTATTTTAATGCTCCTTGCAGAGAAATAACTTAAATAACTTGCTCTGTGTTAGTTATTAGCATGGCCTCATGTGGATTCATTTTCAATTGCGTGCAAGGTCGATTGGCCTCGTATAGGCCAGTATGACTTCTGCAGTTTGCTTAATTCAACCTAATGAGGTGCCGTTAAACGCTGGCACCTCTTCATCAATAACAAATCTAACATAGACACTTTTGGCAATTATAGTATCGGGATCGCTGCTTTAGTCTTTTCACTGATGAGAGTCTGACTTTTAATGGGATTTAGAGTGGAAGTTTGATTGCAACGATTCCTTTTGTGTTGCAGACCGAGAGGACCAGAGCATCCTGTGCACAGGAGAGTCAGGCGCCGGCAAGACGGAGAACACCAAGAAGGTGATTCAGTACCTGGCCTACGTCGCCGCCTCCAAGGCCAAGGGAGGAGCATCTGTAAGTCCTTTCGCCATTCTCTCTCTCTCTCTCCTTCATCTGACCTTCCCACTTCGCCGGTCTATCACCACTTTTTCCTCATTTCAGTTTTTTGTTTAAATTATTATTTATAATTATTATTTATTATTATTATTATTATTATTATTATTATTATTATTATTATTATTATTTTATTATTATATTGAATGATGTATTTTTTCTGTTAGTGTTGTATGATTTGAAAGTGTGAACATTTTATTTTTTTTTATTAAGGTTTGTTTTCCGGCATTTATTTTATTCGTTAAATGTCGTTTTGTCTTTTGAACGAGTCTTGTACGATTTTCTTTTTTTTGGTATGGTGTGTACGTGTTGTGGCATGTTTGTTTACACGTGTGTGTGTGTGTGTGTGTGTGTGTGTGTGTGTGTGTGTGTGTGTGTGGCAAAGCTTGTGGCCTCGCATGATGACGGTCATGTTAGCACGAGTTAGAACACGAGGCCACGAGTCAAGCATTTACACAACCCCTTACGAAACCTGTACATCTTTCCTCAATTATGGCGGCTTTGTTTACATTTATTAAGCAGTTTACGAGCTTTGTTATTAATAAACTATCCATTATTGTAATTAACCTCGTAGCACGTTGGAGCTCATTAACTGTTTAAATCAATGTAAACTAGGAAAGATGTACTGGTTTCGTTGAGCTGTTGCGCTACGTAAATGCTTGATGAATTACCGGCTTGGTGTCATGGTCCTCACACCTGGATGAATAAGGCATGGTAGTTGTTGCTGCTCGAGGTGATGTATTCCAATCCTCCTCGTGTGTTCCAATCCTCCTCGTGTGTTCCAATCCTCCTCCTCGTGTGTTCCAATCCTCCTGGTTTAAAGTTTCAGCCCCCCCCCCTCCCCCGCACACACGTACATCTGTACTTGTCGAGCACGTGAATTGTTTCGTAAAGTATCTGTTGTTGGAGAGTGGTATTGAACACTACAGAGCACTCGCTTGTTTCATTGTTGGAATACATGCATATTACTATATAGATGATTTGTACTGGTATATACGGAATTTACAGCACTGTGTTCTTCTAAATGTTCCTAGTAGTTCTGTATATCGCACATAAGCATTTTAACTATATATATATATATATATATATATATATATATATATATATATATATATATATATATATATATATATATAATAATTTATATATTTGACGTTGCACATTCTACCTTCACTGACCTTTCCTTTACGAATATTTCCTTCTCCAGTCTTCCCTTACCCTTTTGTTCGTTATTAATAGAGTTTGGTTACTATTAACTATTTGGTATTGTTTAATACTAAATTTGAGCATGATGATAATGAGAGAGAGAGAGACTGAGACTGGTATGCTATGATGCCTTCAGCTACAGACCTCCCTATACCAGTGGAGCTTGTGACTCATCAGGCCCAGGTGTGTGTGTGTGTGAGGGGGGGGGGGAGTTTGGATGTTTCCAAACATCCAAACATCCATGTTTGGAGGGAGTTTCCAAATGTTTGGAAATGGGAGCAATGTTGGGTTGAGGATACGTGTGAAGGGAGTGGAAGGAACGGAGAAAATGATAATTTGAGAAAATGTTTAGGAGGTGGAATTGAACAAGTGTTGTAGGTCAACCCCAGGCGCACGCTCTACCCCCTGGACCATGACGGGCTTAAAACACAACTTAGCAACTGAACTTTTTTTTTGTGGCCTACCTTGTGTACCTTGAGCTGGTTCCAGGGGTGAGTGTCCCGTGAGGCCCGGTCTCTGACCAGGCCTCCTGGTGGTTGTTCTGGTCAAGTATAGGCTGTGTGACCTCCCGCTTCACATGAGTCTCGGCCGACTACTTAAGATTAGGGTCTTAAGGTGTCCAGGGCGACGGTGTAGGGGGGACAGGTCGTTGGTGGCCACTTGCTAGCATCTAGGTCAGGCAATTAGCTTGTTCTGCTATTGGTGAAGTCATTAAGGTTCATTGAAGTAATGAGCGTTTGTGTAAATATTATCGGCTAATTGGCTTGGAAGGCCCGTACAGTTGGCCTGCCTATGGTGGCAGGTGGTGTAGGATGGTTGACCAGCTGGCGTGCCCATGGTGGCAGGTGGTGTAGGATGGTTGACCAGCTGGCGTGCCCATGGTGGCAGGTGGTGTAGGATGGTTGACCAGCTGGTGTGCTCATGGTGGCAGGTGGTGTAGGTGGTATAGATTCAGCTACTGGGAACAAAAAGTTCCAAGTAGCACGGGCTATGGTGAGCCCGTAGATGTACAGTTAGCAAAGTGGGGATATTTGTATAGTATACTCCATGTATAAAGACATAATAATTCCAACAACTGAATTATTAACCGAATTATTAACTGAATAATTCTGTAGGTGATGATTCTTCATGTTAAACTAGAATCACCGGTAGTAATGGTGATATCGTGATTAGGTTTTACCGATTGGCTGTCATCTTTGACCTTACAGTTATTACGTGGTTACCGTGTGGTCGTTCCGAGGATCAACGTCCTCGTGGCCCAGTCTCTTGACTAGTCCTCAGTTTGTTAGTGGTCTGGTGAAGATGTTTCAATGAAATCACAGTCGCGTGATCTATCTCTTAATAGATCTATCGCTTATTCTATTGCGGCAGGACGGTTGGGATCGACCCTGCGTCCCGGGTCACCATGTTGCTTTTGAAAGCATTATTGCCAACTGATGGGGGCTGTTAAGAGCTGTGTTGACAATTAAGATCAACAGTGATAGCGGAGAGCGGTCTAGTGAGAATGGCGGGGTTGAACCAGAGTTGATTACACCTTCCAGCCGTGGTACAGGTGGTAGCGGTTGGGCACAACGGATGCGTTAAGTTGCGCAAGGAAGATACCCATTTAGATGCCCATTCAGGTCTAGCAGTGTACTGATGGGTATCCCACTCTGGTACACCAGGGTGAGGTGGGGGTACCAAGGCACGTATAAACGTCACTGGCGCCCCTTCTCCCATTACCATTAGATAACTGGCAGAAATCACCATTAACGTGATATATATGCAACCCGTTCTCGCAAATTCGTAAAGTCAATATTGACTTATTAACTACGTGCATAGGTGATATACTAAACATAATAGATACCCTTAAAAAGATTCATAGAAAACACCAACCTTACCTAACCTTGTTAGTATCTTAAGATAAGCATCTTATTGCTTCGTAATTACAATTATTACTTAACCTATACCTATTATAGGTTAGGTAATAATTGTAATTACGAAGCAATAAGATGCTTATCTTAACATACTAAGTAGGTTAGGTAAGGTCGGTGTTTTCTATGAATCTTTTTAAGGGTATCTATTATGTTAAGTATGTCACCTATGCACATATTTAATAAGTCAATATTGACTTATTAAATTTGCGAGAACGGGTTGATATATGAATGCCAAAATCCACTTGGACTATAGGTGGGCGCGAACCTGGCGCTCACCCGTAGTCCTAGTCGATTTTCTCGTTAGATAATTATTAATGAAACATGTTAAAGGGTATTAAGGTGATGGTGCAGATGAAGTCACAATAACGTGGCTGAAAAATGTTGACCAGACCACACACTAGAAATTGAAGAGACGACGACGTTTCGGTGCATCCTGGACCACTGTCAAGTCGATTGTGATAATGGTCCACAATCGACTTGATAATGATCCAGGACGGACCGGAACGACGTCGTCTCGTCACTTTCTAGTGTGTGGCCTGGTCAACAGGTGATGGTGGGTGGACGCTACGAAAGCGGAATGTGTGTTGTTTTTTCTTGGGGGGGGGGGGGTGTTGAGGCCTTTACAACTGGTTAGGTTATTAAGGTCACCACGATACCTTACTGACCTACCAGCAAGTATACTTTGAGCCTGAATCTAGCCCAGGATTAGAGTAAATTGTGTGTGTATGTATGTATGTATATATGTATGTGTATAATATATACATCTCGAGGAGAATACATCAGTGTGCACCTATATTGGCGGGTGTTACTAATCATACGGGAATAAAAACAAAATAGTAAATACTGTAGTTTGTTAATGGGAGGTAGCGGTGATGTGGTGGTGTCTGAACTGCCACCTTGGAGGCTGATGGAAATCATGACTTTTCCCTTAACATTTCTCCTTGAGCATCTTTGTACTTGATTTTTTTCCCCTTCCAATATTTCTAGTGTCAGTGTTGTGTGAACTGCTGTCATGCACGTCGGTGAACACATGAATAGTGAATGATATGACGCGTATGGAGATAAGTTTGTCTCTGGTGAAGTGATTGTGATGGTGTGTGAGAGGCTACCAGGATGGTATGCCTGTATTCCTTCCGATGTGGTGTGTGTGTGAGAGAGGCTACCAGGACGATATGCCTATATGCCTTTCGATGGTTGTGTGTGTGTGTGTGTGTGTGTGTGTGTGTGTGTGTGTGTGTGAGGTGTTAAGGGAGCCAGTCGCATGTTACTCTCAGGTCTTGTGCACCCACGGTAAGCTTTACCTTTCCAGGAAAGCTTCCTGTATATTTTGTATATGATTAGCTGAAATAGTCATAACAAGCATTAGTGTAGGCAAAAAATGCTAGTTTAAAATTTGTTTAAACTAAAGCTTGTGACTAGGTAACACAGTTTTCCGTCTCTTCCAAACCAAAACAAAGTGAAGGCGTATATGTCAATATTTCTATTTACCAAGAGACTTGAGAGAGCTGTGTTGCCTCGTCGGTCCTGTGCTCCCAGCATGTGCATGTTTATATCCACTTAATATGTTCTAACTCTTAATCTCTCCCACAGAGTAACAGCAATAACGTGGGTCTAACCCTGGTGAACATATGTACATAACCTATGTTTTATAATATTAAATAGTCCATGTACTAATATGCATGCTGTAAAGGCCTTAATTTACTTGGATTCCCTCCCTATGGCCCTCTCCCCCTCGCCCACCAAGGTCAGTGTCCTCGCACGAGTCTCCTTCATCTTGTTTAAAATGAGGTTTGGCTGTCTTTAATTCTGTTAAACCTCGGCATTTTAATGTCATGGCCTGTTTCTGCCACCACCCGTTCTCCTGTGACCTTCCTGCCACCACCTCAGTTCCTTCTTGCTACGACCACCACCACAGTTCCTTCTTGCTACGACCACCACCACAGTTCCTTCTTGCTACGACCCCCACCACCACAGTTCCTCCTTGCTACGACCACCACCACCACAGTTCCTTCTTGCTACGACCACCATTTTCATCACCTTCATCACTAAACCAAAACCCGGACGACCCATCTAACGGCTTTTTCAATAATCTATTTTTTGTTCTTTTCGGCGAATTTTTTCTCAACTGTCAATCAACTGCCTCTCAACTGTCAATCAACTGTGCGTTTTTAGTTCATTGTTACTATGATGTCCACCGTCACTAACATGCATATATCAGCATGAAATGCATCCCCAAGGGAAAATTATGGGTGCAATATGTACCCTTAAGACATAGAATTAAGGGCCCAAAGAGTTTTAAAACATCCCGTCCTAAATTTTAAGAGGGGGGGGGGAGATTAGGCCTATTGCCAAGAGGTGTGTGTTCAAGTGGGAACATGATAAACACCTCTTCCTTGTGGGTCTTATCAGCGCCTAGATTTCACCCGTTACTCATTATCATTCATATCGCTCTCATCCCCTCTAGTGTTGTGTCTTCCTCTTCCAGATGTTCTTGCCACCCCTCTCTTATCTCTCACCTCCTCCCTCCCTCCCTCCCTTTTCTCTCTTTTTATTTCCCTCTTATTACTTTCTTTTTTTATTTTTCTCACTCCTCGCCCTGAGCCTGGTGTGTTTGTTTTATACCTCAGTCTCTGGCCGTCTTGACTGTAGCCATCTTGATGGCGGCTGGTCATCAAGATGACTCTAGCCATCTTGGTGATGGCTGTCGTCATCAAGATGACTCTAGCCATCTTGGTGATGGCTGTCGTCATCAAGATGACTCTAGCCATCTTGGTGATGGCTGTCGTCATCAAGATGACTCTAGCCATCTTGGTGATGGCTGTCGTCATCAAGATGACTCTAGCCATCTTGGTGATGGCTGGTCCTCACCAAGATGACTGTAGCCATCTTGGTGAGGGCTGGTCCTCACCAAGATGACTGTAGCCATCTTGGTGATGGCTGGTCCTCACCAAGATGACTGTAGCCATCTTTACCACTGCGTGGCTAAATGTAGGAGCTGTGTCCGGGTAGCGTAGCAGGCAGCCTCCCCCCTCCCCGCTCCTCCCCCTGCATGTCCCCTTACTTGCCTGCTGGTGGCCGGCCCCTCCGCCAGGGCCTCCTTCACTAACGGTTCTCTGGCTCTCTTCTCCGGGCGGGGGCTCTTCCAGGCCGAGGAACAGACACAACAACCACCACCACAAGCACAACAACAACAACTCCTACAACAAACGGGCAGCGTCTACAAGTCCGTGAGTACACGTCTTCCTTCATCTCCAAGACGCCCATACACACGTCTCTGGCAAAGTCCGTCTTGTGCGCTGTTGTCATCCTCTGCCACTCGGGGGCGGTGAGGTGACGGCTCTCTGCCCTGGATCACTCCTACGGCTTTCCTCCTCTTGTGTGATCGCTGGACTTGCTCTATACAACCAGTATTAAACACTTGTAATCTTGTTGCCCTGTTGCAATGCTTGTAAATAATAGATTTTTTGCAATGTGTAATCATGGGCCTTTGGTCAGCTATCATTAGAGATGAAAGCCGTTATGCTTTACTTATAAGTTATGTGCATGCTCTCTTAACCTGCTTGTTAACCCAGATCTCCTCTGGGCTGCTTTTGCATCATTGGGATGATTTAATGTATTTGCCTGATGCTTCCTTGGAATTTGGTAACATTGTGAATAACATCTACCTCACTGCCTGACTAACCCCTTTGTTATAGTATTAGCGCAGTTGTAGAGCTGTTGCGTACTGAGCAAGTTTACCAGTAAGGTATTTGTGCGAGTTGCATCTTAATAAGGTAAAGTAGTAGTCAAGATATCATTAGTGTGGGAGCGAGAGAGAGAGGCCCAATACGTCGCGTCTTTAACGCCTCTGACGCAATATCAAAAAATAAAAGTAGTGCAGTATTCCTTTTTTATGCATCGGCATCTGTAGGTTAGGTGGGTTGTTGGGGTTCATGCATCAGAATGGTTGCATTTTTTTTTTTTTTTTTTTTTTTGCAAAGTCAAATTGAGAGAACGGACAGTTTCCACTGACACGGATTCCACGTGTCGGTGGAATCTGGTTAGGCGAGGAAGCTTTCGGACAGACAGTATGACCGGAAGATACTGGAAACATTAGGTTCTAAATTTTACACAGACATGTTGGAGCGATCGGCATGGCAGGAAATGCAGAATAGCCCCAGTGAAGAGTAGTGGCGGCGTAGGCACAGGCGACACTATGAACATCGGAGGTCCCAGGCTCTTCCATATCCTACCAACAAACATACATACTGCCCGAACAATAGTGGATGCGTTCAAGAAAAAAAAATACGCTTCTGCAGGAAGTGTCTGACCCAGCAGGTTGTGGTGATGACAAGTGGGCCTGCGGGCTGCTGAAAGCAACAGCCTTCTAGCCCAAGTTACCACAAGACGAGCCTGGCCTCAGCCTGGGCTTGGGAAGTGGAACAATTCTCAGAACCTACACTAAATGACCTTGGGTTCCAGGAGGGCTTCGGAGTACCTTCCCTCAAGGAATGACGTCTGGAACCCAGTACGTAAATATGGAAGAAAAGTCACAAATCAAGGTTAATAGTATTTTAAATTCATTATTAATTCCAAACTTCTTGGAAAGAGTTTATGGTGTTAATTACCATTGTCCAAACGAGAACCCATTTGTATACTGGCATAACGCATATTAATAAATCATAAAAAATGCTGCAATTTGTTTTACAAGCTTGACAGGCGGTCATTCTTTGTATTGGCTGTACACAAACCTCTTGGCGTCATTTGAGGGGGGGGGGGTTGTATGCCAGACAAGATTATCCTGTCTAGTGTTCCTTTGGGCTAGGACTCCTAAACCAATAATAATACTGTGTTAGAGGAATGATTACTGGGTGGGCAAGACGCCGTGCCGAATGCAACACCTTCGCATAAACCCTTAAGACTTCTAGTGTCTCCATGATCGTCTGGGACACGTATATATTTATGCTAATGTGACGAGGTCAAATTTATAGCTCAAAAGTCAATATAATGTATTGTGTGTCGCTCTTGTTTTGTACGAAATGTGGACAGTTTCTCTTTCTTCCAAGTGTTCTCTTACTGGTTGGGTGTTAGGTTATAAAGGGCTGTCAACCTCTAGAGAATTATTAAGTCTTTCACAATGCCTTACTAACCAGCAAGTATACTCTAGTCCTCAACATAATCAAAAGTAAACTCAATGTGTATACAGGGAGAGGCGGAGTATACATGTGGGTGTATACAAAGGCTTGGGGGGGGGGGTTGTTGCACAGTGTGTGCTACTGAGCTGTACTGGGAGGTGGTTGTTAGAGATTCAGCTACTGGGTACAAAAAATTCCAAGTAGCACGGGCTATGGTGAGCCCGTTACTGGGAGGTACTTCGTCCCCCGCACGGAAGGCACCTCTATTTGCGCGTTTATTCGGGTTAATAAGCATAGGTTAGGTACGTTGTAGTTTGTAAGCTTATGGTTAGGTCAAATAACTTGAAATTAAACGCTTGCGAAATCGTGCAAACTGGATGTACAGAGGGGGGGGGGGATTCTGCCCCCCCCCCCAATACGCCAAAAAGATATGGTAATCTTTTGTTAACTATTATCTTTTAACTATTATCAGAAACAGGTTATATAATTGCAGGCTCAAGTTTTCAATTATAATACACAAAAGGTCTGGACGACTGTGTTAGAAGTTGGTTAGTTGCAATGCATTTTGTTGTATTTCTTGTAGTTGTTGGATTCAGGTTAGTGCAGCTTCAATTTTTGTTTTTTCAAGATTGGGGGAAGTTAAGAATGATGGGCTTGTTGAGTCGTGTAACGTTGGGTGGAGATATGATCACTGACACCCCTGCCCACCACACCTTACCACCCCTCAGTCCCTTGGCCCCTCAGTCCCTTGGCCCCTCAGTCCCTTGGCCCCTCAGTCCCTTGGCCCCTCAGTCCCTTGGCCCCTCAGTCCCTTGGCCCCTCAGTCCCTTGGCCCCTCAGTCCCTTGGCCCCTCACGCCTTTGGCCCTCCAACATGTCTGCCACACGCATCCAATACCTTAATATGAAGTTTTGTGTGTCGTTGAAATACGAACAGCCTTTTAGGTATAGATACCGCCGGACAAGACAAGCCCCAGGCCGGGCTTGGGGAGTACCACAACCCACTGTGTGTGTGTGTGTGGGGGGGGGGGGGAGGAGGCTGGCGAGAGCTGTGGCGAAGTGTACTCCCCCCCCCCCCCGTCTGAGCACCACCATATGGGTGATGCTCCTCCGAGGTAAAAGTCCCCCGTGGTGGAGTATCTTGTTGTGTGTGGTCATTTAACACTATAGTGGCGGAAAATGACACTATAGGGACACTTACTGTGTGAATTAGCCGGCAATGACTCTGGACATCGGTACAGGTGGCTGGCATTCTGATACCAAAAAAAAGTGTCGGTCGGCGGGAAGAAAGCTAGGCGTTAGGGGTCATGGGGGTGTGGGGTGGGGGGAGGGGTGGGGTCATAGTGTTGCTGGGGAGGGGGTAGTGCACCTAGAGGGGTGATGTTATGCGGTAGACTAAGTCTCCGTGGCGTAGTGGTAAGATGTTCGCGAGCACTTTGACCTGGGTTCGGATCCTGGCCGGGGGAGGATTTACTGGGGGCAAATCCTTAATTGTAGCATCTGTTTAACTCGCCAGTAAAATGGGTATTTGGTTGTAAAAGATTCTTCGCGGGGATCGTATTTCGGGGAACATGGGATTAAAGACTTGCCCGAAACGCTACGTGTACTAGTGGCTGTACAAGAATTTATACATACATACACAAGAACTCTTGTGTATGTATGTGTATAATGTGTTTATATATATATTATATATATAAACTAATTAAAATATTATGTGCCTTACAATGTCTCATTTTTTAAAAGGAAACGTTACATATAGTCGACTTAATATTTTCTATGGCAGTGTTTCACGTGAGAGCGGTAGACTGACTGGCGAGGCACGGGAGCTGAAAATAATTAAGAAATTGGTGATAATTCCATCACTAATGCTCAAAAAATGTCTATTTTATGCAAAGTAAAATCGTACCAAAAGTCTTAGACGCCGCCTGCAGCGTGGGTGTACAGTCTGGCCTCGCGAATAATACATGGCATTTTCACGGTAAAATCCCCAACGTACAAAATATGAGGTACTATAAATCATAGCGGCTCGCAAAACGTGTGAACTAAATGGTACTAAAACTCATGGACCCTACCACTCTCCCAACCTAACCATCCTGTGCAAACTCTGTTAGCAGGAACTGTGGCACGATCTCCCACACTACATCACCGAATGCCCAGTTATCAGACCATTCAGACCCGTTGGCATGAGGCACCTGGAGCTTTGCAATTATTTTATTCACTCGGTGTTCTTGAAGATAACCTCCTATTGCACCCAAAATTTGCCAGTGCAAGCTACTGAACATATGGCCCTGTATGACCAACCAACCTGCGAAATGGGGACTTAGTCTATTGGGTCATTCCGGGCAGCTTCTATCCACACAAGCTTATTCATACACGTGTATGAGACAATCCAGAAATCCCATTGCATAATCATTTAAATAAAAAAGAACGAACATTGAATATATAAATCATTCAACACACTGAAGAATAGCAAATAAAATGTTTCAGGAACTTGATGCAAACCGCGACTCTCATGTCTTAACTCATTCTGATATCTAAGACAAAATACAGTACTGTATAACTATATATTGTTATACAGTTTAACTGCTGTACACGGCGCTGTAATTTGAGTTGCAACTGCAGAGGTTGCTCAACCATTTGGTGATAGACCTAAGTCCTAGCTGATAGTTGCCAAGCTAGCGCTGTTTATGTGGCTTGTTGCAAGCTGAGTGTGTCATCTTCTGGGGGACTAATTTTGTTTTATTGTTTGTTGTCTAATTTTAATTATCTTGCACACGAGAGCATCCAGTCTGGGGAGATTCAGGAAACTGGTCCTGTCAAGATTATAAGCCTACCGATGAATACACTTTGCTGTATCGGTATTAGTAAATTGAATTTTTCCTTTCGCCAAAAGTGGATACCATTCTAACATTTGACTAGCTAATATTATCTGTATTGTTCAAAATGTTGCTGTGTGTACGTACGCTTCAAGCTAAGATGATGGCAGCGGTTATAACATTACTCAAATAAGTTATTGAAGGTGTTACGTAGGAATGGAGACATGTAATGAAGTTCAAGGAAGAGAGACGAGGAGGAGGAATTGTTTGAGGGGTCATAACCTGGTGGTGACTTTCACCCCATTGACCTCTGACCCGTGCGTGCTGAGGGGGTCATTACGGCCTTGGACAGGCGTCTCTACCATGTGGGTTTACTGGGAAATTTAGCCGTCTAAACACTCCAGTCTCTCTGAGAGACTCGTAGACTAAACAGTCTCGAGGCACGTAAACTGCAACGAAATAGCGTTCAGATTTCAGCTGTTTAATGGAATTAAAGTGCCTCATTTTTGGCGCATTCCTTTGACTGAGCATTGACCTCTATTTGTTAAGTAGGTTGGCGTAGGTTTGTCGCTTACGGTTAGGCAATATCACTTACCATTAGACGCTTGTCAAACCATCAGACGCTTGTCAAATGGTAAGACTGGGCTAGTTTGACGCAGATGTGCGAGTGTGATTCACTGGTTGGCGAGTGGAACCAATTACCGGTTCTAGCGAGACGTGGCTCTAGAGTCTAGCCTACCAATCTGCGAACATAACACACCAGCCTAAATAGAGGTGACCGTGAAGAGTGGTATGTGCTGCATATTAGTGACAGAAGAACGATTACACTACGTTGGAGAGTAACCTTGTCGAGATTAGGCATTGTGGATAGCATCCAACATCTGTACTGGCATAAAACTGACGTATTAATATCTCTACTTATTGTTGTTTTAGATGTAGCTACTCAGGACGAAATGTCCATGTAGCAAATGATGATTGATGAAGATTAAGCCACCCAAAAGGTGGCACGGGCATGAATAGCCCGTAAGTGGTGGCCCTTTTGAGCCATTGCCAGTATCAATAGAGGATACTGGAGATCTGTGGAGGTGCGGCTGCACCCTGCGTGACGGGAGATGTTTCCCGTCGTCCATGTAGCACATAAGGGAGCCCGTAAAATCTCTCGCCTCGTGCACACAATTTATAAATCACAATTGTGTATTATGATGTCCGTGCCACCTCCTGGGTGGCTTAATCTTCATCAATCAATCGGTATATTATTATAGTAAGGCGAGATTGGGTTGGTTAGAGTAGCGATGACGTAGACAGGTCAACACTTCCTCAGGTCTTGGACCCTACTCGATAATCTCGAAAATGGAACAATTTGCGATAATGAAGCTTGGGCTTTACAGATGCTTATTCTGCCGCGTATGTAAATTAGTAAAAGTTTTTTTTTTGATGGATACGAAAGTTGGGAGGCATGGCCGGCGTTTATGGTAATTCAAAAACACCCGTTGAAAACTTGTGCTCATTAAGCTTGGCGCGTTTGATGGGAATTGATCAAATTAGTCCAGCAGGTGGGGTTAAACACTTCCTGATGCACAATTAACACCCATCAACTGTTTGGGTGACCTCTGTATTAGAACAGTGTTCCTTCAACCCGTCCTCTCAAATAATAGGTCGCGTTTTGTACCGTATGGTAACTAACATTGGAAATCTACTATGAAGCGTTACGACAAATCTACTATGAATATCACAGATATTCACATTTTCTATGTATCAGACTGATAGGTTAGGTGGGTTCCTTGGGTTCAAACGTTGCTAGTTAGGTTAGGTTTATTTTTTTTTTTTTACGGAGTGGCCAATCAATACAACGGGCTAGTCAATACAGTTGGGCTAGGTCGTTAACCAGTAAGACCTGAATCTAAGCAGTTGATAATTATTGTTCTTGACTAATATTGTTACACTATTTTGAGATCAGAGAAATTTATAGAACTAAAACATGAGCCCGTGTAAAAATAAACTGGTTTTTAGCGGAATCACTAAACTGATACAAATGTTTAGAGTAATGATAATGTTCACATGATTATCCAATGAACTTTCCCTATTTCGATTGGGAAAGTAAAATTGGTGAACATGTTGGTGTTCACAAAGTTGGTGAACATAGTTTAAAGTTTTGTCCCGAGTGGCGAGTTTATTGGGCAGCGCCACTCATCCTATAGTGACAGACTAATTGGTAAACTGAAGGAACTACTTCAGAAAGGAACTGTTTCTTAGACGCTTAAGCTCCAATGGCACTAATTCATACACAAGTGTTAAAAAAAGTAATAATTGTTCATTTGAAGTAAACAAAACAAAAATATATATTTTTTACCCAGTCCCATCACCACCTTCCTCCCTCAACCCCTCCCTTCCCTTTTACTCACATTATCCGTGCCATCGACAGCAGTCACCACCACCACCACCACCACATTCCCCCTCCCCCACTGGTGAAAGGTAATCCCTTGGGTGACCCCGTGCGTTTGACCCCTTGGCACCAGAGCCATGTCTTAAGATGAGTACGTTTGGATTACTGGCAAGAAACGGGCACAGTACTCTCTCTCACCACTTGGTGTGGAGGTAGGCTAGTGGTGTACTGGGTACTACCTCACCCCCGAAGTACTGCATCACATGGCGAAGGGTATTATACCTAGTGACTATGATGGCTGGCATTTGAGGTATAATCTCACGCAGGCACAGTTGTAAGACTCCCATAGGTCATGACCTCGAGTTTAACTACTGGGTAGTTGAACTCAGGGCCGTGAGGCTGTTAACCACTAGCCATCATGTTAGTCACTAGCCAAAGGGGGGGTTAAAAAACAAACTTTTCCACAAACTATTTTAGATTTTTTAGTGCGTGCATATACAGAAAACGGCACTCTTCGAGTTCGATACGTTTTCCTCCAGCCATTCACGGAGAATACATTTTTAATGCAATTTAAAACTTTACGAACGGCGCTCAGAATTGTTGCGTAAAATTGGTTTGAAACTAGTAAGCATGGGCAGTTGGGTAGCATTTGGGCATGTGTATGGAATAACTTGATCTTACATTTTCTCTTCATAACTTGTATTGAATAGACTAACAGAAGCAATTACTCGGCCGTAACACAGTAACTGTATTAACCAATGGTACTCTTTAACAGTATGTGGTGGAAGGTTGCATGATCATTCCTGGGGCTACTGTGTTGAGAGGACGAGAGGCGCGTGTGTGTGTGACCTGCAGGTGTGTGTGTGTGACCTGCAGGGGTGTGTGTGTGACCTGCAGGTGTGTGTGAGATCTACAGGTGTGAAAGATGTTTGATGGGCAGGTGGCACACCTTGCTCGCCTCCATGTACTCTTGCCAAGTGCCTTCTCTAAAATACACTTGGGTAATACACACCTGTAAATAGTTAATGTATGGAACTGTGAATACCTTTGTGTGTACGTGTATGCGTGTGTGTCGTGAGCTTTCATTTCCAGATGCTGCAATCTTTGACTATTAAAGACTATTACTACACCCATTTTTCTGAAGACAGTGGGAGACGTAGTTTAGGTGTTTGTGCGTGTTAGTTATAATATATAATGTAATTCTAATGATTTTTTGTTCATATGCATTACTTACCCAATATAACATGTTGGCGGGAGGATATGCCGTGGTGGCGACAGTTGTGATAATGTATTTTTCACCATTACAGGCCGCTCATCAAGAGAACAAGGTAGGCTCTGACTATGGCGCGGAGACCCCTCCCCCTTCCAGTCTCCTCCTCCTCATCATGTTTAGTTGGACAGGAAACTTAATCCCCTTTAGCATTAGTTTGTATTAACACCGGGCGAGGGCGCTGTGGTAGCCAGGCCCCGCCCAGATCAACCCCCACCCTGACGCACTTCTTAGATATAGATACTGTGTACGTGAAGAAAGCGCATGTGATCATACATTGTATGAGTGTGTGTGTAGTGTATGTGTATATGCCTTTATTTTGTTAATTAATGTTAATCTTAATGGCGTATTAGTTTGTTGCTGAACACTTGTGTAAATTGGTCCCAGTAAGCTCAAGTTAACAATTAACATAACCATTTGTGTAGTTGACTCTTGTAAGTCTTGGTACGTTTAGTATAGAACTTGAATAGTATATTTGCTATTCATACAGTTGGTACACAAGTATTTTAATACACTGTGATGGTAAATTAATGTACACAGTTTAGTTCATGTGAAACATTTGCACTGACCATCATGTAAGGCTCAAATAAAACAGTAGTATACGTATTAATGTCTAATAGTTATTCTTTGCAACAGCCTCCATTGCTATAACAGATCCTTGAACTCTGGAGGACAAGGTACTGGAGACGTGGAGGCTGAGGTGGAGCACCTTGGTGTGGGAGGGGGGCGGTGGTGTGTCTATTGGCTATTTCTTTTGTTGTTGTTATAGATTCAGCTACTCGGAACAAGTTCCAAGTAGCACGGGCTATGGCGAGCCCGTAAGGGACATACCTGGCACTGGAGCGGTGCCCTGCTCTATTTCTTCTCTTGTCTCACTAACATAGTTATTTAGATGGGGATTTAAAGAATTTCGTCCCCATTGTATTTTGTTCAGTCTCTACTTTGGTGTGTTGTTCGTCAGTGATCCAAGTCATGATTCATAAAGCATTTACGTGTCCACATACGAAACCTGTGCATCTTCTTTCAAGCATGGTGACTTAGTTTGCATTTATTAAGCAGTTTGAGTCCTAAAGTTCTATGGGATTGTGTATAATGACAGAGCTAGGAATTTTCGAAAGAAATTTTTTAATAAATACGGACTAAATCACCATGATTGTGGGAAGATGTACAGGTTTCGTAAATGGACGCGGAAATGCTTGATGAATCCTGACCCTTGATTACATTTTATTAGTGACAATTTTGTTGTGTATCCAACTGGTGATAAATGTTAGTGATAGCTGGTCTCTTTAACGTGGAGTGTGTTGACGTGTCTTGTAGGCCTGTCTCTATGCAAGGCTCATCTGTTAAGCGTAATGAATGCTTTGAAAATCCTGGTCCCTGCTTGCCACTTAACGTAGTGGCTTAAGGCATCTTTTTTCCTGTGGTAAAGAGGAAAAGTTCTTAAATTTTTTAACTTAAAAAAAAATGAAGGTTTTCAGAAAGATAGCTAGTATGAAAGGTTAAACATTTTCACTTAGTCTGCCAAAGGTAGCCTATACAAAAAGGTATTATACTGTATTGGATCATTTCCATATCAAATTTTTTCAGCAGCATTAGTAGTAGTTTGTTTTTCTCCAATACAGAATGGAAAAATTCATCCGCTGTGTGTTGACCGTAAGAGGAATAAAATTTCCCTTACTGTCCTCCTAAAAATGTAAATGCCTTCAAAGAAAACATGATCCTAGGCCTAAATAAACTGAATCTAACGCTAGGCCTACAAAAAAAAATTGAAAAGGAGAGGTAGTATGTAGTGGTGTAGACAGATTTGGTTGTTTTCGTGCCGACAGATGCTAAATATGCATCTTTGGATTTTATAAAGTGTAAGAGATGTGAGGAGGTAGGGCGTAGTGCTTGTGTGGATGAGAGCAGAGGCCAGCGATGCATCAGCTGGCGGCAGGGGCGGGGAAGCCGTCCCTAATTCCCGCTGATGGTGACGGCATTAGTCAGGCCGGGCCATCTTTCATGTTGTCGGGACCCTCGGCATCTACAACAATCGGCGTCCTAACAATCTCGCTGCGGTGTCAAGTTGGTCATTATACCATAACTTGCCACGGCTCAAGGCCCGTGTCAGCGCCTGGTGTGTCGGGGTTCCTTGGTGATCCAGCAGTGATATATGGAAGATGGAGGCTCTTCGTTTTTTCTTTTTTTTTTATTTTTGGGTGGGGTTAAAGAGGATGGAGCGGCACAGGCGAAGGGAAAGTTTAGAAATGGGAAATACAGTTATGAAAGCAGGCGGAAGCGAGTCATCATGAAGTGAGTTATAAAAGCAAACAGAAAGCAGGCGGCGGATGGAAGGGATGGTGAGTGTGCATGAAGGTGCAATGGTGGTGGCCGAGAGGCCTGGTAGTGGGTAGAGGAACCTGGGTGGGGAGGTCGGGGGGGGGGGGGGTAAAGAAAATGGGATTGTTTTTGGGTCTAGAAGCCGAAGTTTGGTCTGGGGTATGCCTGGTCGAGAGGGCAGGTTTTGGGGGGTCGAGAGGGCAGGATTAGGGGGGTCGAGAGGGCAGGATTAGGGGGGGGGTCGAGAGGGCAGGATTAGGGGGGGTCGAGAGGGCAGGATTGGGGGGGGTAGAAGGGGCAGGATTGGGGGGGGGTAGAGAGGGCAGGATTGGGGGGGGTAGAGAGGGCAGGATTGGGGGGGGGGTAGAGAGGGCAGGATTGAGGGGGGGGGGTAGAGAGGGCAGGATTGAGGGGGGGGTAGAGAGGGCAGGATTGAGGGGGGGGGGGTAGAGAGGGCAGGATTGAGGGGAGGGGTAGAGGGGGCAGGATTGAGGGGGGGGGGTAGAGAGGGCAGGATTGAGGGGTGTAGTTGGTCGAGATGCCTAGGGTGGGGGGTGTGATTAGTTGGAAGGGGGGTGGGTATAGTGGTCTGGGGTGGTGGAGGGAGTGGCTGGACTAGAGGTCAGGGTCAGGGGGAGATGTGGGGGATCGTGAGGCCAAGGTGGGGGAGGGGGGTAGGTGTGAAGTGGAGAGGCCGGCCAAGAAGGTGGGAATAGGGTGCCGAGAGGCCATTGTAGGGAAAAGGGTGTGGCTAAGGATAAGCAAGAGGTTTAACAGCTCTTGCATCAGATATGAAACCTAAGCAGTATAGGTGTAGTGAGAGGGGCAGGGGCAGCAGGTGGGCAGGATGTAATCAGGCCAGTGTCCGGCAGTGTAGCGAGTACACCTTGGGGGGGGGGAGGGCCATCCGCTGTTACTTATGACTGGTGGAGGCTGCCTGGGAAGCCCAAAGGAATGTCCCTTCTGATAACATCCCCCAAAAACCTCATGGCTAGTTTCACAATGTATATAGAATGCCTTTGTGAATGTGTAAAATTGATCTTTCCAGAGGAGAGTGCCATGTTAGTTAAAAGTTTTAAATTGAGTTTTTTCCCCAGAGTCAGTCCCCAGCTTGGTCCTGGTGTACTCCAGGTTGAAAAATTTTCGGGCATGGGGGGACACGTTTTGGATTTCCTTAAGATAAATGTTCATCAGTGTTCAGTATGTGATGGCAGCATTTGCAACACTGCTGTAAGAAACTGAATTGATGCTCTAGCTACAGCATTAGACAATTCATAGTTGGCTTAAGTAGTGTACTGAAGCAGTGAGGATGCCCTCACCTTAAAGGGCTGATTCACCGTTATCAACTCATTTAACATTGTACATATCTAAATTTCATCACATTGGAGTGTGTTAAAAGGGCATTATTTTGGCAGTTTTTTGTTTGGATTAGCATAGCTACTATTTTCTTAAAATCCGGCAGGTAAATTTAGTCCACAGGATGCCTTGTAAGGAGCTGGAGACTATGGAAATGTCGGGTACCTGTTTGTACTCATCCGTAAGTGCCACATTTGAGAAACAAGTTCTTTGAAGGTGTCATCAGTAGTGTGATAGAATGGTAGGGGGGGGGGGGGTTATTGTATTCGCCTAGTATTCACCTAGTTGTCTTTACGGGGGTTGAGCTTTACTCTTTCGGCCCGCCTCTCAACTGTCAATCAACTCTTTACTAACTACTTTTTTTTCTCCTACACCCCCCCCCCCACAACCCCCAATTGATAACAATTGAATCGTTACCTTATTTTCTTTAAAAACGAAGGTACACTTGATTATTCCAAGTGTTTGGTTAAATTGTTTAACTGCTGTTCCTACCTGCTGAGCAACTTATATTGAGTGCTGGATTTTGTCCACTGTCCTTTTCCTCATCAGTCTGCTGTAATGTAACGTTATTAATTTGGTAGTTGTGGTGTGGGATGTTGTGCCCCACATGCAGGGGGCTTGTATTTGTTAATATTAAAAAGCATTTGCCAGTCATCTGACCATTTGTGGAGTTCCTGCAGATCTCTTTTGTAAGGCTACATCATTATCATTTCCCATTTTACTATAAATCTGTGTCATCTGCAAATTTGATGTGGTTTGTAAAATTATCATCTATGTCATTGATGTATTTGACAAAAGGGTTGGCCCCAAATTGGACCCCTGTGGTACCCCCCTCCCCCTGTTTGCTGAAACCTTGCCAAAGGCTTCAACAAAATCCATGTAAACTACGTCAACCGGAAGTCCTTTGTCTGAGTAGCTTGTTACCATTTTCAAAAGTGTGAGCAGATTTGTAAGGCAGGATCTTTTTTATCTCAACTTAAAATAAACACAAACCCATGTTGTGTTGACTTTACGAGATTGTTCATTGAAAGATGGTGAATGATTCCCTCCCTTAGGATTTTCTCCACGAGCTTGCAGATGTGTAATGTCAAGCTGATTAGACAGTAGTTCTCGGCTTACCCCTTTCTGCCTTTTTTGAAAATGGGGTGACATTTGCATATTTCCAGTCTAGGGGAACTATCCATGGGTCCAGAGACTTTGTTAAAAGTACCTTCAGTGGAAGGCAGAACTTCTGCCAGTTCCTTTGTCTTTGGATTGTATTCCATTCACTCCTAGGGCCTTAGTCTTTTAGTTTGTCAATGTTCTTCCTAATTATGTCACATGTTATGGTTATATTCCTAAATTCATTCTCTTCACCTCCTTGAAATATTTGATAGGATGTCATCTAACCTTTCTAGTGTGAACACTGATGTAAAATATTCATTTAGTATTAGCTGCCCCTTTTGTCCTTCATTATCATTATTGTTTGGTTAGTCTTATCTTTTAGAGGTTTTACCGAGTCCTTAGTTTTGGTTTTACTGCTCGTAAAAGTATAAAACGACTTTGGATCTTTCTTTGTTTTGGGCACGTTTTCTTTCGTACTGTAGTTCCTTTTGACTGATGTGATTTCCTGGGTGGCAGAGTTTAGTGCCCTGTTATATATCTCATAATCAATGATGTCCATCGTGGATTTATATTGTAGCGAGTAGATTATCCCAATACTGTAATATACTCGCTCCAAACGCATTAGCCTAATGAGAGAAGCAAAGCTTTTTTTTTTTTTTTAATAATTATGGAACTCAAACCTTTCCCAACTTCCAGACACTTGCGAGATACTGTACCGACTCTCAGTGCGCTCAACTCACACCATTGCTCACCAAAGTATCGCCTGCATACTTCTGTATACTCTGGCCAAATATATATATACTCTTAGTGTTTGTGTTTGTCACCATACTTTACGTAACAATAGAACAGTTACAATACGTTCTCCAGAGGATCATCTTGGTTATCAATGCTTGTTTTACTGCCCGTGTCATCCATCTACTGTAGTTTTCTTTCGCTTCTTCCTCCTTTTGTTGGCACATTTCTGAACGAGTTCCATGATGACCTTCTTAAAGTTGCGCCAAGATGCTTCCATGTAATGTTCACCTATTGGCTCCCTCCAGGTTTTGCAGTTCCTCTCTCATTCATTGATGGTCATCTTGGTGGAAATCTAGAAATTCTTTGTCAACAACCTTTTCTGTGATACATGATCAACTGGGGTATGATTTTTTTACTTGGGGTTACCCACAGGCTGCTCAAAGCAAACTGAAGGACCTTTTATTCGCACCTGTCTGTGCGAATAAAAAAGTAAATTGATCATATTTGTTCAAGCACCAGAGGAAATTGCAGTTACCAATTGGAGCAGTGCAATGGTTGAGGCAATTCAGTAAAATACAGTATTGTACTTGAGTGCCGAGTCGGGTGAATTTGCAACGTGCGCATTTAGAAAATTGTGCAGTCATTTCAAGTAGACATGAATTTTTCATTTCATATTTATACCCTTAAATTTATTCAGAATTTGGATTTATTTATACAAATACTGAATGTATGCTAGCCTAATATGCGTTTTCTCATAAAATCGGCTTTGAATTGCAGAGCAAATTGCCAACTTTAACAGCAAGTAAACTCTTGTGGGTAATACTGTATCAAAGACGTTTATAATATTTCCTGATTATTTTAGACTTGAAACTAACACTGAAGCAACATTCCACAAAACTTGATGAAATACAGGATTGTTATTGTCAGAGGTGTCATATATGCCCAACACAGTGAGGTGGTATTGGACTTCACCTGCCTGTTACTCAGTCTAGCACCACTGCTGTTTTATAGTAATTGGCACCTACCCTACACCAACTTCTCCTCCAGTGGAATATGCAAAATACCTGTAGTGAACCTTTTGTTACTGAATGAAGGATTGCTTTTGCCTAAATTTTGGATTTATATGAAGAAACAAAGCCTGGGCCCTAAGTTTGGATTAGGGAGTAGAACTCCTCTTGGAATCCACTCCAGGTAAACTCCATACTAAAGTGGGCGTCATCATTATCATGTCCATTACTATAAAGGATGAAGTTTTTTTTTATTTACTTGAAACATTGAGGTTGTAACCAATTTCCTGGAAGCTTGAGGATACCTTCCTGAAGTAATGAGTAACTCAGTGGCATCAGTGCTTGGCTTTGGTCTCTCTCATTGTTGTTCTTGTACTAAATCAGTGCATTTTGTAATTTCTAGAGTAACCCAATTTGGGCTGTGTCTAGTACATGTGGCAGTAACTGATGTGTAAATGCACTTCAAGTATTACAGTAGTTGGTCATCTGTGTACATTGATGTGGTAGAGTAAATTCGGAATGGTGTTGACACTCGTATATCTCGGTGTATGGTTTTTAAGGTCTTGTAATAGTTTTCATGTAGATCCTTTTCCATGGAAAAACAATGTTATGGATTTCTCGCCTGTATGGAGAGCTGTCCGTGTACTACCTCCCTCTCCTTACCGAATATTGTAGATAAGATGTGTCCTGTAGTCTAGTGATGAATGTTGCATCCCAGTACTGAATCTGTGTACTGTAGTATAGTTCAGATATGTAAATAGGCAGAAATTATTAGGCCATAACCATACTAATGTGTATATAAATAGCTATAAAGCAATACTTTTTTGAGAGTATTTAAATAGTATTGCAATATCTTTCATAGCACTTAAAATCTTAATTATAAAATTTCCTAAATTTCTTTTCCCCGAGTACTGTATTTAAATGACTGACCTGCATGTTGAGCTGCAGTTATAATTGGGGAGTGAAGATGCTGAATGCTAACAAAGCCAAGGTTGTTAAAGGAAAAATTTTGTTTAATTGATTTGAGGTATTTTCTCTCATCTCTACTGTTGCTGCTGTTGCCTCCTGCTGTTGGTGCTGCTGCTGTGTGTCTGGCTGGCGCAAGTGCAGAACATTGCGGTAAGGAAAGGTTTGCTTACTAACCACCGCTTGTCGCCCGCTCCTCTGTATGTGTGTGTGCGTGCGTGCGTGTGTGCTTGTTTTAATTGTTGCCATCTGTAAACTTGGCATGACCAGTTATGCCCACTTTGTATGGTATTGTGTGATCCTGCGTGGGTGGAACTTGCCTGTCCCGGGCACTTAAGTGATAGGAAGTACAGTATTTGGTAGTAGTGGCATCACCTATTCCAGAAATAATTCTTCGTGCTTATGAACTTAATTTTGCTTGTATGCATTATTTAGCAATTTGCACATAGGGGAGACAGCAATGTGATGGTCATTGCTGCCAAAGTTTCATTTTCAGTACAATGCTTGTATTAATAACAGAGCACCACCACCACCAATTTTAACACCCCATTTGCTATCATTAAAATTTTCACCCATTAGAACTACAGCCCCCATTTATTACCCACTTAACCCCCAAGTGCATCACCCTCACCCCCCCACACCCTCCACCCACCACTTCTCTCAAGAGAATGCAGTACAGGCTTAGGGTTTTCACCCAGTAAGCACAAAAACATGATAGTGTAAAAGGTTTGCAGTCTAACTAGTGCTGGAATGGAGGAAACAAAGCTTATGAAGGCAGAATAGAACCAGTGAAGAGCAGGGGTGCCATAGGCACAATCAGAGAACACTATATAAACATCAGAGGTCTACTGTTGTTCAACATCCTCCCACCGTGCATAAGAAATATTGCGGAAACAACCATGGACATCTTCAAGAGAAAACTAGATTGTTTTCTAAAAGAAGTGCCGGATCAACTGGGTTATGATGGGTATGTGGGCCTGCGGGCCACTCCAAGCAACAGCCTGGTGAATGAAGCTCTCAAAAGTCAAGCCTGGCCTTGGGCTAGACTTGGAGTAGAAGAACTCTCGGAACCCCATCAAGCAGATATCAAACAGGTATGGGTACCTCATTCTCACAACTTTTAGGGAAAAGGAGCACATGATATGATCACTAAAAATTAAGAGGGGGGACAGTATGGACAAGGACAGCCTCTTAAAATTTAGAGAAATATGGCAACACTAATATCATTGAAGTCTTGAAATGCAATTGTTAAAGAAATGTAAGGTAATTGTTGTAGACCATATAGGTGGTCTTCAAGTGGAACACACTGAATGAAATTTCTGAAGCCACTAGCATTCACAACTTCAAGGCCAGTTACTACACAGAAATTGAATGGCAAGGGATACACTTTGGTGCACCAGACATTGATTTATCTTGTTCATAATCACTAGTAAGCAAGCACCACACTTGCCGGCACCCGACACCCACCACACTTGCCGGCACCCGACACCCACCACACTTGCCGGCACCCGACACCCACCACACTTGCCGGCACCCGACACCCACCACACTTGCCGGCACCCGACACCCACCACACTTGCCGGCACCCGACACCCACCACACTTGCCGGCACCCGACACCCACCACACTTGCCGGCACCCGACACCCACCACACTTGCCGGCACCCGACACCCACCTACCTTACACGTAGCACAAAAATAGACAAAATTGCAAAAGGAATATTGCCTCCCGAAATCGTCGCAAGGTAACCGCAAGGTATGGGCGTTGCGAGGCAGCTCCTATTCAACCACAGTAACTTGTATACATCTTTAACTATTGAAACAATTCAGCAACCCTACATCTAGTGTATTGTGTTTCTTGGCAACGTGTTATGTAAACCGCCAACCATTTTCCCCAATTAAATATTTAGTTATTTTCTGAATTTAAATTTATTTTTGTGCCCATTGTTTTATGTTATACTTTGTGTTGATAACTTTAGCATCTGACTAATATCATCCCTTATTATACCTTGTCATCAATTTGTGTGCATAATAATTTTCACCTTCATCTTTCTAGACATTTTTATTTTCCCTCCGTCTCTCTCGTATACTGTAGAAGGTTCCTAATGCCTGGGATTAGGAAAAACTTACTCTTCTCTGTACATTTTCTTGAATTTATAAATTCCTTAGTACAATACTGAAATTGAGCTGCATTATTTAATTGGGACTAAGAAGGGCAAGATAAAGCTGAAGAGTAACATTTGTCATTGTTACTAATACTTCCATATGAGTCCTTGTACTTTTTCAAATTTTCTTAATGTCAAAGGTTTAATTAATTTCTGGGCTTAACCTTTTGTTAATGATAACACCAAACCACTTTCTCTCTCTCTCTCCCTTATCAGCCATCCTATGATCACTGTTTCACTATCCAAATGTGTGTAGTGTGTGTGTGTGTGTGTGTGTGTGATTAATGCAGTTGCTTAAAATGTTCACTAATGCTTTTGATTGCATCTGAGCAGAATGATTATATAGTACTGTATACAGTATGTACTGTAAATGTATTTGTATTTTGGTATTTTTTTTTGTGTTCAACTGTTGTTAGGATAGCTTTCTGCAGATAAACTGTATGCCGTAAATGCAACTTAAGATGCATTGTTCTGGTATAGTGGAAGTTTCTGGTCGATTGTACATTTACCATTGAAGACAATTGCAAAGGGTGGGGAACCCATGTTAAGGTATTGTGCGTATTGATCGTAGTATAATTCCCTAATGGGAGGTATTAAAGGATTCATTGTGGCAGAAGACCAACTAACAGTTATGTATATAATTTTCAAACATTTCTCCAATGTTCATATACCAAATGTGTCCTGATTGATATTCTACCTTGTGGAATACATTTTTATTTACATGAAATGGTTTATTGGCTCTGGCCTAATAGTAAATCTGTTTACATATATATTGTAGTTGTAGTGGCATTAGTACAGTACTGTAGCATTATTTTAATTAATATTAGCACTCTAATAACTCTACTGCAATAATAATAATTAAAAATTTCTGCCAACAAGTCTTAGTACTGAACAGTTTTGTGTGGACACTGTACAGTGTTAAGTAGTTGATGGCTCTGGACCAGATCCTACGGGCCAAGGGACTTGATGGCTCGGGGTTCAAACAGTCGTGTATTCTTCACTATAGGTACACTTTCATTGCTTAATTACTTTGGAGCATTATAATTAATTTCTTCCACATTTTTTTTGTTATTTAACTTTATGAACTTACAAACTATTGCAAGTATAGCTACATATAACTAATTAGTTAATCGGTTGATGGAAAATTAAATTAGCTAAATGAAATCTGATCTTCATTACGTAGACCACATTAATAGTTAGCTTACTATGACCACCTAATGTTGACAGTTGTTTTTAGTCTAGTTTACCATCTCCAGTAAATTTGTATTAACAATGCATGATGTAGACATCACAGAGTTGATGTCCAGCAGGGTACTTTATTATTTGCTCCAAAACATTATGCCAGTTTCTTGACATATCAATATAATATCTATATATTTTTTCCATTACTTTGTTTTGTCAACAGAGAAGATTTTTAGCTAGAAATGTTTTAAAGATAAAATTTTGTTTTACAATTTCCTAGATATGTACTAGCATTCCAAGCTTTATTGAAAGTTCTCAGTTCAGATTAAGGTACAGAACAGAATTCTGCTGTAAGCTTCCAAAGGTAATTCTATATTTTGGTAAAGAGTGATTATTTATTTTACACACTTATGATTAGTAGAGTTCTAGTGAGTTTATAATTGCAATATTTGTTAGTTTGTGTAAGATTTAATTTTAAACTTTTTTCTCTCGCTAAAACATGTTTACTTTACAGGGAGAGCTAGAAGCACAGCTTTTGCAGGCTAACCCCATTCTTGAAGCCTTTGGTAATGCCAAGACAGTAAAAAATGACAATTCTTCAAGATTTGTAAGTTATACAATATTTTTGGTTTTGGCGTGTCATTACTGAATAACTGTTAAATGATGTGCTTTTTAAATTACTGTATATACTTTTGACATGTAAATTTTAACATGCAGCATGACTTTCATATGTTAAAGTATAAAATATTTTATAAATTCCAGGGAAAATTCATCCGCATCAACTTCGACAATTCAGGTTACATTGCTGGCGCCAACATTGAAACATACCTTCTGGAAAAGTCTCGGGCTATTCGTCAGACACATGATGAACGCACATTCCACATTTTCTATCAATTATTGGCAGGAGCTAACCAACAGCAGAGAAGTATGTACTTTTTTTCCCAAAAGCCCTTGATGTTGAGTAAATTAATGAATGTTGGGAGAGGTCATAGTTGGCAAACACTGAAGTACAGTGCTGTATGCAAAATAATCAAAAGTTAACTGCTCACTCCAGGGGCCAGATTCACGAAGCAGTTACACAAGTACGTACTTACGAACATGTACATCTTTCCTCAATCTTTGACGGCTTTGTTTACAATTACAGTATTAAACTGTTAGTAAGCTCCGAAGCACCAGGAGGCTGTTTATAACCATAACAACAGTTGATTGGGAAGTTTTCATGCTTGTAAACTGTTTAATAAATGTAAACAAAGCCGTCAAAGATTGAGGAAAGATGTACACGTTTGTAAGTACGTACTTGTGTAACTGCTTCGTGAATCTGGCCCCAGTTTACTTCCTAATGAATATTAGGCCAAAATAATTTTGGAGAAAAACAGGACATTAAATGGCACACACATTCTTTTGTACTGTACTATATTTAATGTACAGTACTAAAGTTAGAATAGCTAATACATAATATTATAATAGTAATTAACTTTTGGTAGTGAACTTTATAGTAATGTAAAACTGTCGATATACATTTTAATGTGGACTCTAATGAACTTCAACTGTTGGAACGTTGAGGCTAAATGTATTAATAATTGGATCTTCTTTTACCAGAGGACTTTATCTTGGAAGATCCCAAGCACTACAATTTCCTGACCAGAGGAAAGATCCAGGTGCCTGGGATGGATGAAGTAGCAGAGTTCCAAGCCACCGTCAAAGCTATGCAGATCATGGGGATGAACAACGAAGATATCCAATGTAAGTACAGTAGTGTGTACAGACTTGTTTAAAACTTGATATTTCTTTTCCCTTCATTAATATAATACTTGTGGTGCTAGTACAATACTTGTGGTGCAAGTACAGCACTTGTGGTACTATGCATTTTATAGCAAGCTATCACATTCAATACAAGACTTAGTGTGAATATGTATATAATTAACTGAATTCAGTTACGTATTATAACATACCTTTCAAGGTGTTAGAGATACAAAATAAGTGTGGAATGTACATCAAACAGACTTTGTAATAGAGAATAGATCTGGATTCAGTTTAGAGGCCAAAAATATTGTCTAACCCAAATTGAATTCTATGACTGGAGACGGGGAAAGATAGATGGAATACATTCATAGTATTAAAGATTACCTGAATCTGTCCCCACCGTAATATACAGTACATAGAAAAGTTGGCCATTTTAACGAGTAAAAGTACTTGAATATGCTGAACAGTGTAAATGTCTCAACATTACTGTATATACATTACATATATATTAGACATAACATATAATATGCATAGTGCATTCAGGGAAAAAAAAAAAAAAGGTTGCTCCAGGAGTAAACCATATTTCCACCCTATCCTCAAGGTTCTTGGCAAAATACTGCATGGCCACATTTGATATACAGTAGCACGAAGTGCATTCTTGTTGAAAACTTTCTCTTCTGCACTTTATATACACACATATGGTACATACACTCGTTACCCCAGTTTCTTCTTTTTTGGGATGGAGAGGCATAAACCGAGAGATGAAAAGGCGAGTAATACAGCAAGTTTTAAATTGTAAATAATAAAAATTGCAAATCACTTACACTGTTAAATGGTATAACATATACTTGACAGTATATAGCATGACCAATAAATGAGGCCCAACACATTCAAGCAGCCATAGACAGCAGCACCCCATTTTTTCATAAGACCAAGTGTACAGTACACTTTGTGAATTGTCATGTATTAAACACAAATACGTTAACTCCCCATTTATACTTGTTTCCACCCAGTCTTGTCCCTAATAATATCCCCTTTTTATCCACACTTGTTCTCTACGTCTCGCACATTTGCTCACCATATCCACCCATCATTATCCAGGCTTTGCTATTAACTTCGAATTTACCTGAATATGGTTTGCAGATTCTTTGTTTCACCTGCTCTTAAGTTTTGATATTCTTGTTCATCCCACACAAGTGTCTCAGCCATATATACATATTGTACCCACAATCCTTCATGCATCTGGCTGCATCTATTACTAATATTTTCTAACCTATGCTTTCATTGTATCAGCCATTTATGCAATTCTTCTTCATTCACCACAACATTTTGTCCACATTCACATCTAAGTCTTTTGCTGCATACCTTAATCAAATTTTCAACTTTACACAACTGCTTATTCTAAATTGTATCTTCTGTATTACATATTGACACATCGTATACAGTCTACACCCATTAGATATATACACATGGTTTACAAACCTTGCTAACATTCTTACCGTGACGTCCTTCATGAACCCCATCCATGTATATGTTGAATAGTTTGGGTTCAACTTTAATGAATATGAAACCAGTTACTAATTACAGTAGTTGATATAAAATGAGATTTCTTGCAGCTGTCTTCAGAACCGTATCTGCTGTACTGATGTTCGGAAACATGCAGTTCAAGCAGGAACGTAGCTCAGATCAGGCTACTTTACCAGACAACACTGTTGCTCAACAGGTATATATATATATTTACATGCACATTGTGGTCACAAGAATGTGATACAACTATGAGAAAATATTGAACCATATATGATGGATCAAACCCATATCCCTGAACTCGCTACCAACTGGACCACAATGGGTTTAAAAGCATCACAATCAGGAGTCCTACTTGACTTGCATGGAGCTTGGAAGGCACCATCCAGTACCACAGTCAGTTATAGGGAGATACCAGTCTGCAGTGCATGTACCTGAGGAGTTCAGGCATGCGGGTTTGATCCCTTCATAAAGCTATATCATTGTCTTGTCTTAAAGCATTCATGGACCTATAATATTGTCCAGGATTTTTATTTCAAATACGAGTTAAAACTTTAAATAAATGTCTTGCTAGGTAGCATTTTTCATAAAGTACGAATAACTTATTTCATTGACTTTAAAGTTTTATTTTTATTTTAGGTTGCCCACTTGTTAGGCCTTAACGTGACTGATTTGGTTAGAGGGTTTTTGAAGCCACGCATCAAAGTGGGCCGTGAGACTGTCACAAAGGCTCAGAACAAAGAGCAGGTAAGATTTTTTTTAATTGTTAAATGGCATGTTATGTAGAAAATTTTAACAAAAGTTCCATATATTATTGATATTTTTTATTATTACTACCCAGTTTCCAGCTTCCATGCAGTGAGGAGGCATCTACCCAGAGAAACTTGCGATACATCAATTACCTTTCTTACCTAGAAATCACAGTACACCAATATCACTTTCACATTTGATGACGCTTAAACATGTCATCTGTTTACTTTGTCACTTTGCCCATTTATTCCGCCATGGCCTGGGATCGATTCCGGGTCCCTAGATCTACGCGTCCAGAGCCCTGGATGCGTAGATCCACTCGGTCACTAGGAGTACTGGGTACTCCTATTAGAAGTAATAGTACTCCTATTACCTAGGAGTAGCATGTTACCCCTAGGTAACAGGGGTAAGGTGGATGGAGTATTGTACTTGGGTGCAGAGTGGTAAATTGAATCTGTGGTGTATTATGTTAAATTACAGCCCTTTGACCCTAAAGCGAATATTCTACATACAAATTACTACTTATTTTTTTATATTGTTAATGGGTACCAAGACTCCTTTCTCTTTCCATGAAGATTTCAGATGTTTTGATGTTTTTAAATTACAGAAGATTCTAAAATATTAACCTTTCAGTAGCATAGTTTTTCTGGAGTGTGACAGTTTTGAGGTTGATGCTGTGTAGTATGGGAGATAGTGGGTTTCTATATAACAAATCTTTAAAACCTTTTCTATTTATATACTTTTCCTCTCGGATGATGCTTCCTCATCCTACAAAAATGTGGTAATGATGATTTGTGATAACCCTAATTTGCAGTGCTCATTGTTTTTGTAAAATTAATAATGTTAACTCTTTCAGTGTGAGTTTGCTGTCGAAGCCATTGCCAAGGCTCTGTATGAACGCCTATTTAAATGGATTGTGATGCGCATAAACAGGTCATTGGATCGCACGAAGCGCCAGGGTGCCTCTTTCATTGGCATCCTTGATATTGCTGGGTTTGAAATCTTTGCCATGAACAGGTTTGTTTATTAGCTCTGTTTTTGTTTCCCAGCTAATTAAAGGTGGGAGACTTGTGTTAACCAAGAGTGTTGTGTGATTTGGCAAAAATATAGCAAAATAATTCTTTGTTTTATGGCTGTCCCAATAGCTTGCATTAACAAAATATGAAATAAAGTATTTCATTATTATCAGGTATTACATAAAACCTAAGGGTGGCTGAATGGGAATATTTATAATTATTTAAGTTTTGCCATTCATTAATATTTGTCATGTGGTACAAAATAAGCTGCATAATGATTTAAGCATAATTAAAAAGGCTGTAATGAAGTAACTCGCTGAAAATCTCTTTGAAAATGCAAGACCTCAATACTGGGAGGACAGGTTTGAAGGTCCTTAGATCCCCAAACTATCAGTAGCCAACCAGTAGAGATAGGTAGTGCAAGATTTATATATAATTAGTCAGTATCCCAAATAACTTACAAAAACAGATGCAAAAATGACAGCCATACATTATCACAGTATCATAAAGTTAATAAATGTTAAAAGAAATGTGAATCCAAGTGGATTCTAGATTATTAGCAAAGAGAATTTTAAACCCATCACTAACATTCATACCTGACAATTCTTTAACAAATTAATTGGAAGGATAATGATGAGGAACCTGGAGAAGACTAACTTTGTGCCATAATGACAAGACGGATATAAAGGGAATAATTATATCCAACACTCTTAATAGTTCTAGAGCAGGGTTTGATTCCTAAAATAATTTATAATGTATATTTTAAAAGTGAGTCTTGAAAAGCTTTTTTTTAATTGTTAATTTTATGGATAATATCATAATACATTGTAGTTTGGAAATTGTGTAGAAATGATATGCGATCACTTTGACAAGATTAAACCAAAGATTTTTATGTTGGACTGCTTAATGATAGCAAAATAAAATATATATATAATGAATGATATATGCAACTATGATCAAGTTTATAATGAAAATTTCTCTAACTTTGCTTTCATTATAAAGTATTATTATTTTCCAGCTTTGAGCAGCTGTGTATTAACTACACAAATGAGAAACTACAGCAGCTGTTCAATCACACGATGTTCATCCTTGAGCAAGAAGAATATCAGCGTGAAGGAATTGAGTGGAAGTTCATTGACTTTGGTCTTGATCTTCAGCCCACTATTGACCTAATTGAGAAGGTTAGTGATATAGGTCTTTATGCAAGTAGCTGTCTGTTTTTGTGTACAAATTCTGAAGTTGTACAATAGTACTACAGATTTTGAAAATATAAATAGTGGCATTTTTTTAGACGGCTCCTGTTTTCAAATGTTACGTAAGGTACAGTACTGACTTGATTTTGCAGGTGAAAATTGTTGTCAGTTTTATGTACAGGTATTACAAGTATATATCAAGCTATTCTATGAATATAAAGCAGACATTGCTTTTGTACAGTGTTAAGCACTGAATTAGGGTCGAAAAATAACCAAAGACTGCTTTTCAAGATAATGATTTTATTCTTTCCAGCCTATGGGTATTTTGGCTCTTCTGGACGAAGAATGTTGGTTCCCCAAGGCAACAGACAAAACCTTTATCGACAAGCTTAACCTCTCTCACTCTGTCCATCCCAAGTTTTGCAAGTCAGAGTTTCGTGATAAAGCAGACTTCGCCATTGTCCATTATGCTGGCAAGGTAGATTATTCAGGACATCAGTGGCTGATGAAGAACATGGACCCTCTGAATGAGAACATTGTTTCACTGCTCCAGACCTCTCAGGATCCCTTCATTGCACAGATCTGGAAAGATGGTGAGCACATTTGTCAATTTTTTGCCAACTTGGCTTAGTATAATAACATACAGTGGTAACTCTGTTTTCGAATTTACTCCGTTCCCAGAGACGGTTCGACAACTGAAAATTAAAAAACCGAAACGAATTTTCCCGTAAGAAATAATGTAAATAGAATTAATCCGTTCCACACACCTAAAAATATTAGCTTAAAAATACATTTTATGCATACTTCTCATATTTTGTACTACAGTATGTACAAGTATATCTTGCCTTTATTGAGGACTCCTTGGTGTATGGAAGACTGAGAAAAGGGTGGGGGGGAGGTGTTAGGGTTTGGAAGGGGAGTCCCCTTCCATTATAACATCAGGTGGTGAGGACATTTCTGGGGGTACTCTCTCCTGTATTTTGCAAGCATACCACTAAGACCTGGTTGTGGCTCACTGCATGCTTGTCTTACTAAGAATCTTTATAAAAGACACTTTTTTTTTTTTCCCCCATGTTTAATAACGTGTCTGTAGTGAAATACTACATTCATTCACTTTGAATGATATTTTGTTTTTCCTATATCGTCGTCCTCACAACTATTTTCTTATGTTGAACTTTACCACAGACTTTCTTGGGACCCAAAGCGTGATATATTATAATTACTTTTCTGTGGGGAGCTCCTTCGGCTCCCTGGGGCTATTGGGCTAATGTGTGATATGAGACCGGGGCATTAGTCTAAGGAGTTCGACCTACAGGAGACTACGAGCTAGAACCTCGCCCCCCTTCAGAAGTTGCAGGAACCCTGGAAAACCTGGAAAAGGGGGCATTTCCTTATCTGCCATTGACTGAGGTTAGGCACCCAGAAAGGTAGGCATAACAAAACAAACCCCACATGGTATGAGAATTACAACTAAAAACCGAAAAGAGGGATAGAACTCCCTCCAATTCCAAGGAAAGAAGCAAACATCACACTATCGCCTTGCTGCTCGTCCGCTCAGTGCCTCCCTGCCCTGCACGGATGAGCAGGGCGGCAGTGAAGGTTCTAGTTAATGAATTAGCAGAATCTGCTATGTTACTATGTTGATAATTGTATAGGATTTTTTTATTTAACGATATTTTCTTTCAAGCCTGTCCCATCTCTTTGCCCCAGCCTTGATATTGGAGATGGAAAATAGAAGTGCATACATGGAAAAAAACAAAAATTGCAAGATTTAAGAGTGGAAATGTACATACAAGTTTTAATAATTTTCTTGTATGGGTTATATTCTTTAATGGTTTAATTTTAAATTATTAAATTAATATTTAAGTAGTTTTCCATAGTCTTTGCAAAGTGAAAATAAGTCTTGCCAACATTTTTACTGTCAGATTCATGGCTGCTATTGAGTTTTGTAATGTATTTACCCACTACTCTTTTCATTAACTTGATATAAATTTCCAGCTGAAATTGTGGGAATGGCTCAGCAGGCAATGGGAGACAGTCAGTTTGGTGCTCGCACAAGGAAAGGAATGTTCCGCACTGTTAGCCAGTTGTACAAGGAGCAATTGACCAAGCTCATGAGCACATTGAGAAACACCAACCCCAACTTTGTGCGATGTATAATCCCAAATCATGACAAGCGGGCTGGCAAGATTGATGCTGGACTTGTCCTGGATCAGCTGAGGTAAGAATTCTAATAATTTACTTTAAACCTAATGTTTGAGTATACTGTATTAATGAAGCTTACACAGTGAAATAACAAACATGATATATCTACGAGAAATATTAAAGCCATAAAATGGGATCGTACCTACGTACAGTATTATAATTCAAAATTATTTGGATATTTCTGTCATTTCCTAAAATAAGCTGGACTTGAAATATTTTGCTAGCTGTTTTCTGGACAGAATTCTCATTAGGCTGGTAGTAGCTGAATTGTCATCTACATCTTGGTGTGAATTATGAATATTGTTTTTACGGTTCTTTAGTGTGTTACTGAACTTGTTGCTTAAGGTTTTCCTATAACATTTCAGATCTTGTGCTTCTTAAAAACCTTTACAGTTTATGTATATCTCAATTTAAAGCAAATTAAGAATGCCAGGGTAAACAATTGCAAAACTATACCATTGTTAACTTAATATCGTAGCTTTGAACTCTGCTAAATGTTTCTAGTTTTAATGAACAGTTAATTCTTTGCTTTAATGAGTTTACAGTAAAGTCAGACTTGTATTTCTTTGTGGAAATCCCATGGCAGTGATATTTAAGTGCACAAAATGTCTTTCTTTCAGGTGCAATGGTGTGCTTGAAGGCATCCGAATCTGTCGCCAAGGTTTCCCTAACCGCATCCCCTTCCAGGAATTCCGGCAGCGTTATGAACTCCTCACTCCTAATGTTATTCCTAAGGGCTTCATGGATGGTAAGAAGGCTTGCGAGATGATGATACAGGCCCTGGAACTAGAACCAAACTTGTATCGTATTGGCCAGAGCAAGATTTTCCTGAGGGCTGGTGTTCTAGCATCATTAGAAGAGGAAAGGGATATCAAAATGACTGATCTCATTGTACAATTCCAGGCCTATTGTCGTGGTATGTTGGCTAGAAAGAACTACCAAAAGAGACTTCAGCAGCTCAATGCCATCAGGATCATCCAGCGTAACTGTGCTGCTTATCTGAAGCTTCGTAACTGGCAGTGGTGGCGCTTGTACACTAAGGTCAAGCCTCTTCTCCAAGTGACCAAACAGGAAGAAAAACTTGTTCAGAAAGAGGAGGAACTTAGGATGATACAGAATATTCTTGAAAATCAAAAGAAAACTAATACAGATATGGAAAATAAATTCCAACAAGCCCTACAGGAAAAGAATGTTTTGGCAGAGCAGCTGCAAGCCGAGACAGAGTTGTGTGCTGAAGCTGAAGAGATGCGGGCTCGTTTATTGGCACGTAAACAAGAACTAGAAGACATCCTACATGATATGGAAACAAGACTCGAAGAAGAAGAAGAACGTACAGGTAGCCTAACAACAGAGAAGAAGAAACTGCAGCTTCAAATTCAAGATTTGGAAGAACAGCTTGAGGAGGAAGAGGCTGCTCGGCAAAAGCTTCAGCTTGAGAAAGTTCAATGTGATGGCAAAATAAAGAAATTTGAAGAAGATTATGCATTACTTGAAGATACAAACCAAAAACTACTCAAGGAAAAGAAATTGCTTGAGGAACGATCACTAGATGTTTCAAGTACATTAGCAGAAGAAGAAGAAAAGTCTAAACACTTAATGAAACTAAAAGCAAAGCATGAATCAATGCTTACAGAACTAGAAGACAGAATTAAGAAAGAACAACAAGGCAGATCAGAATTAGAACGATCCAAGAGGAAATGCGAGACAGATCTTAATGATTTGAGAGAACAGATCAATGAGAAAAAGAATCAGATCCACGAAGTACAGATTCAGTTAGCCAAGCGAGAGGAAGAATTAGCACAGGCCATGATGAGAGTTGATGAAGAAGCTGCTGCCAAGTCACAGCTGCAAAAAAATATGCGTGAGGTAGAATCTCAGCTAAATGAGCTTCAGGAAGATCTTGAAGCAGAGCGTACTCTTAGAGCCAAGGCCGAGAAGCAAAAGAGGGATTTGAATGAGGAATTGGAGGCACTTAAAAATGAGCTATTAGACTCGCTAGATACAACAGCAGCACAGCAAGAGCTACGCAGCAAGAGAGAGGAGGAACTAGCATCTCTAAAGAAGAGCTTGGATGATGACCAATCAATTCATGAACAGCAGATAGGTGAACTACGGCAGAAACATGCTCATGCACTTGAGAACCTGAATGTCGAAATTGATCAACTAAAGAAACTGAAAGCTGGTTTAGATAAAGCCAAGAATCAACTTGAAGCAGAAAATGCTGACCTGGCAAATGAGCTAAAGGGTATTTCAGCCAGCAAACAGGATAGCGAGAAGAAAAGAAAACAGGCTGAAGCCATAATCTCTGAATTGCAGCAGAAGATTGCAGAATCTGACCGTAACAAGACAGACATCCAAGAGCGTTTGACTCGGTTAGAGCAGGAATTGAGTGTTGCAAATATTGCAGTAGAGGAGGCCGATTCTAAGGCCATGTCAGCAAATAATCAGTTGAAGAATCTAGAAGCTCACTTGCAAGAGACTCAAGGTCTTCTTGAGGAAGAAACTCGCCAGAAGCTTAACCTTAACTCTCGTGTACGTGCTCTTGAACAAGAGAAAGACCATTTACAAGAGGCTCTTGACGAGGAAGAGAGTTCTAAACGTAACTTTGAGAAACAAGTTGCTACTCTACAAGTACAGTTAAGCGAGGCAAAGAAAAAGGCAGATGAGGAATCTGGAAATGCACAACAATTGGAGGAGACGCGCAAACGCCAGAATAAAGAGCTGGAGGAGCTTCGCGCTCGCTTAGCTGAATTAGAAGCAACAAATGAAAAATTAGAAAAGAGTAAGCGCAAGCTGCAAGCTGAATTAGAAGATGCCCAAGTTGATATTGATGCTAACCGTGCTAAGGTTGTTGACTTGGAGAAAAAGCAACGTAACTTTGATAAGCTGCTTAGTGAAGAGAAGAGTAATTATGAACGATGTCAGCAAGAGAAGGAAAATGCAGAACGTGAGGCTAGAGAGAAGGAAACGAAGATTTTGTCATTAAACAGGTCAGTTTACAACTAGTACTCTTTTTAGTTATCTTCTGTTCTGCACATATTCATATCCCCAAATACTCAGTAGGGAGTAGAACAACTACCAGAACCCCATCAAGCAGGTACATAATAGTATAGCAGCTTCATTTAACAAAAAATAGTATTAATGATGTATTTTAAAACAGAGTTGTTCCACTTTCTCCAGGATTAAATGAAATTGATTTACATTAATTTTAAAGTACAGTGTATGCGTGAGCATTTGTGTCTTTCCCACCATTACCCTGCCCAATCACTTGGGCTGGACAGTAGAGCAACGGTCTCGCTTCATGCATTTCAGTTTTTAATCTCCGATCATCAAAACAGTTGGGCACCACTCCTTCCCCCCCCCCCCCCCCCCCCCCCCCCTCCCCCTCCCCCCCCCTCCCTTGAGAACACACACACACACACACAACTTCCTAAATGTCAAAGCTTGCCTCTCCCCCTCCCCTTCCACAGTTCAAAGGGTTAATTGTATTTTATGAAGAGTTCATAATGTTTGTATCATGAGAGATTCTGATTTAGAAAACTGATTTTATTTATAATTGTATTTAAGAGTTCATGCAGGTCTTGCAACTTGCAATTATAAATACCAGTTGACCAGTTTAATGATGCATTTTATCATTAGGACATTGGAAGAGTATATGGAACGTATTGAAGATCTTGAAACTGGCAAGAAACGGTTACAAATTGAACTTGATGATCTAGTTTCAACTCGAGGCACAGCTGACAAGAATGTTCACGAACTGGAGAAAGCAAAACGTGCCCTGGAATCCCAGTTGGCAGAACAGAAGACTCAAGTAAGTACTGTGATTAAAAGTGCCTGTATAATTTTGACTTAGCATGCAACGTGTCTAAAGTTTTACTTTGTAAAATGATTTGTTGTTTCAATTGCTGTGTTATCTTGCCAGATTGAAGAGCTTGAGGATGAGTTGCAGCTAACAGAGGATGCCAAGCTACGACTTGAAGTAAATATGCAGGCCATGAAGGCACAGTTTGAACGTGACCTGAATGCTAGGGAGGAACAGGGCGAGGAGAAACGACGCGGACTTGTGAAACAGCTGCGAGAACTGGAGGCAGAGCTTGAAGAAGAACGCAAGCAACGCACAGCTGCAGTAACCGCTCGTAAGAAGTTGGAGGGTGATCTGAAGGATATGGAAGGTCAGCTGGAGATAAACAGCAAGGTGAAGGAAGATGCTGTCAAGCAGTTGAAGCGGGCAGGGGCACAACTGAAGGAATACCAGAGAGAGGCAGAAGAGAGTAGAGCTTCACGTGAGGAGATGTCTGCTCAATACAAAGAATTGGAAAGGAAGATAAAGGTCATGGAAACAGAGCTGCTTCAGTACCAGGAAGATCTTTCTTCTGCTGAGAGATCTCGCAAGGTACTGTATTTTGGTGGCCATTTGCAGAAAGGCTGTGTATTTAGTTGATAGTTTGTGTGAACTATTTCATTCACTAAAATATATAATGTATTAAAATTATATATTTGATTGTATAAAGTATTTTATATTCAATAATTAGATAGGTGTCAAATTATGAAGTAATCCAGCTATCTGATGTTGAACAATCCAGCCCCTGATGTTCAGACAGTGTTCTCCGATTGTTCCTGTGGCACCTGTACTCAATGATTCTATTCTGCATTTCCTTCCGTATCTTTCGCTCCAGTATGTTATTTTACTGTGCAAATTTGGGACATGGCCCTCCAGTATCTTCCATGTATGTATTATTTGATTACCTTTCTCGTCTCCTTTCCAGAGAGTACATTTTGAGAGCATTGAGACAGTCCCAATAATTTAATGGTTTATCATTTGTGTGTGTGCTGTATATGTTCTTTGTATTCCCTCTAATTCAGAGATCTCTCCTGCTCTGAAAGGGAAAGTGAGTACAGAGCAATACTGTATAGACAGGACAGCACCAGTGATTTAAATAGTGTTAGCATTCCTGTGGGGGGGGGGGGTCTGGATTTGAACGTTCTCATAATCCATCCTATAATTTTCCTGGCTGCCGCTATATTTGCTTGGTTATCTTCACTAAATGTCAGGTCTTCAGACATCGTAATTCCCAGATCTTTTACATGTTACTTTCCTCCTATGAAGAAATTAATTAATCCGATATGATGATGCATGTGACTAATCTTGACACAGATTCAAAACAATATTTATCTTTGACAAAATCATCAGAATGCTGAAATTGAGAGAGATGAGCTTCAAGAGGAACTTAACCAATACACATCAAAGGCCACTTTGAGTGCAGATGAAAAGAAGAGGCTCGAGGCTCGCATCTCCTCCCTAGAAGAAGAACTGGAAGATGAACAGGGCAATGTCGAGGTATGCAATTTTTAGTTAAAGTATCTACTTTCATTAAAAAAAAAATATTATCTAGACATTCCTCCAAATATAATGTAGCTACAGTACTTGGCACGAGTGCCTATTTTCCTTTATTAATCTGTACATCATTTCTAATAATTCTGATATTGAGCTCTGCAACATAACTTGTCAATCTTTTAAATATAATTTTAAGGTATTCTTAGTATCTTCACATTCTGTTTGGTTAAATCAATGTAGTTGCTTCAAATAATGTAAAAATTGTTTTACTTGTGATAACAATTAACTTATTGTTGGAAAAGTTACCAATAATTATTTTTTGGAAATAGATCTTACTATTCTACTGTGCTGTTCCTTAATTGTGTACATGTTGTAATTTTATGGAAACCTCTGCTTTGGCAAGGTTTTTTACCATTGTATCTCGACATTAATTACAAGAAGTTGTTGTTGCAAAAAAATCATTTGTAAATATTCCCATTTCAAATGGGTCTATCATTAGGAACTTCTCTAGATAATGAGTGAGCCACAATAAAAGGAAAACTGTTCACTTTTATTTGCTAAATAACTTTCTTGCCAGTATTATTTCCTTTACGACTTTTTTTTTTTTCCTTAAATGGCTTTACCAGCCCAGTTCATGATGCTGGTTGCCTTCCCATCACTCTTGCCTATTTGATCCCACTTGCACTTGACACTCTGATCACCTCATTAACTGCTGAAGTATTCACCAAAACTCATAAGGTCGTAAGACATCTGAAATCGTACTCCAGTTTGAAGATTTGGCTTACCAATATTAGCTGGTCATTAGTTGTGTGTCCCTCCTCAGAGTTAAGAACTGATAAGTTTTCCAAAACAGCACTGATGTCTTGGCATACAATCTTAATTTTGGAATAAATAAATAAATAAATAAATAAATAAGCAGTATAACAATCGGTTGTTACAAATGTTGGTTTATAATATGGCTATCAAAGTTTCCTCTGCATTTCTTATGCAATCCTATTTATTAACTATACTGTACCTATTTGTCATGTTACTAGCTTCCATACTCGTCTCCAGTATTATCATTAAACAAGTTTTAAAAGTTTTATATTGTAAAAGTAACACTAAAATGAATGTGGTTAGTATGTCTTAAAGTCTATTGAAATTGCATTTCATTCATGGACAGGTATTAATGGACAAGATGCGCAAGAGCCAACTATCCATGGAACAGCTACAAACAGATTACAACACGGAGAAGTCATCTGTGGTGAAACTTGAGGGCCAACGATCTATGTTGGAGCGCCAGAACAAGGAACTGAAGGCAAAACTAGTAGAATTAGAGACTGAAATTCGTTCAAAGACGAAAGCAACCATAGCAGCACTTGAATCAAAGGTAGGTCTTTTCTATTAGTTTAACGAATGTACTTATGTAGAATATTAACTGGGGGGGTTATGTTTGACATATACTATATACTGGTGAATTTTAGTAACATTAATTGATTTATTGAATATGATCCTAATTTGTCATTAAGAAGAAAAATTGGGTATATTTTGAGGGTAGGTTTAACGATTTACAGAGCAACCTCATTGATCTGAATACTGTGTCACTGTTCTGCTTGTCGGAAATTAATACAATTTGCAGACAAGTCCTGATATTTCCCATTCATTGAATATCAAAGCCACTTGGTAAACTAACGGCCTGGCGTGAGAATTTATGCTGTACCTGGTGACATCCAAAAGATACACAATGTTGACTTGGATGTCATTTTTCAAAAGATCAGAATGTAAATTCAGATGTGCATTGTGATGAGTGAATAGCTTCATCTCTTCAGGAACAAGAGACTTTATCTATTTGGGAACAAAAATGTATACAAAAGCCAAAGTTACACAAAGTTCTTGACTATACATGACACAGAAATGGTAGTTTCTTTTTGGGATGAGCATAGTTTGTTTATTCAATCTCATTGAGAAGACGGATAAATGTTTAATTTCTTCTTCAGTGCTAACACAATGATTGAGAGAATTTCTAGTTTGATTAGTATTCATAGTTGGCCAAGCTTTGTTAAAAGAATGTATATATAACTGGCCCTTTATATGTAGGAAGTTTTGAATGTGTAAGGAATATTGTAATGAGTGGCTGATTGGATATTAATGCAGGTGTATGTGAGGATTGTCAACATATACTTGGTATGGAGAGACCAAGGCAGTCAAAGTATGCATGGTAAGAAAAGGCAGAGAGTTGGTGTACAGGCCCGACATTAGTAATTGAAGTGTCAAATTTCATGTACTATACTGAGTATCCAGATGATGGGTCTTTTAGCAGTTACACAGATATATATTAAATAGGTTGAAGTTTGATTGATGTGTGCATGTTAGCTGTTAAGAACCATTATTGGCAAGAGTAATATTATTGTGATGGAGGGAAGAGGAAATAATTTATGAAATATGGAAAAATGAAGTGCTACCTTACCTTGAAGTTACCTTGAAGTGTTTCTGGGGCTTAGTGTCCCTGCGGCCCGGTCGTCGACCAGGCCTCCTCGTTGCTGGACTGGTCAACCACACTGTTTGACACGGCTGCTTGCAGCCTGACGTATGAATCACAGCCTGGTTGATCTGGTATCCTTTCGAGGTGCTTATCCAGTTCTCTCTTGAACACCATCACTGGAATCAGTATTTGCTGGAATTAGTTTTATCACACAATCTCTGCATTTAATAAATGACTCGTGTGAAATTGAGGGTTATTCTAACTATTTACAGAGCAACTTCATTGATCCAAAATATTATTGTAAGGAAAGGAAAGTTGCTAGTGGATTGGAAGCTCTGGTTAGGAAAATAGAGAAGCAGCCAGGAGGCTGTAAGAATTGGTGATGGTAACCCTTATATATATATATATATATATATATATATATATGCATGACATTGGTTTGGCATGAAATGTGAAAAACAGACATTCTTAAATGATTGTGTTCAGAGAAGAGTAAAGGAAAAAATGTGAAATGTAGTGAAAGTATTTATAAACCACGAGATTGAGAAGCATGTACAGAGAATGTTTAGGCATTTTCAATGAATGGATGACCTTTAACTGGTGAAGAAGGTATTAGAGTAAATGTAGAGGAGGAAGAGAAGAATGGGGAAAATATTTGGTAGATGTGATGGATGAGTAAAGAAAGTGTGTGAACAGCACAGGAGAGACAAGGTTAGGTTGAAGTTGTTTCTATGGCTAAGGGGAATGTAAGTATGAACACTCCTGAAACTTGCAGGAGTGAGGTACATCTCTTGGATCCTGCTTCTCGACCCACAATCGACTGATACATAAGTTCTAGAGCCTATTTGGCTCTTGTGTTTTCTACACCTAAATTTGTGAATGGAGTTTGCCTACAATGCCTTGCTTCTTAACTCAATCCATTTGTTGACTGTTTTGCCATTGAAAAATTGTCTTTATGGCTAATTTGGGTACTAAGTGTCTGTCTGTCCCCCTTGTTCTTGTACTACACAGGCTAAATAGTCTGTCTTTATCAGCACTGTCTATTCCCTTGAGTATTTTCCATGTGGTGGTCATATTTTGTGTTCTCTAGTAACACAAGGTTTAACTTATTTTTCATTGCTCATATCTATCAGCTCTGGGACTAATTTGGTGGCTGCTCTGATAATTGCCAAGGTGTGTTGTTGCTTGTACATCAGTCGTGCTATATACAGTTGAATGAATGATACATTGGATGTTTTGTTAATATTTTTATAAACTTTTACCATATTGTTCCACCCTCGTATTTTTTCTCCTCCTTTCCTGGTTGGTGGATACCACCTCACCTTATGTGGGGGGGAATGGGGGAACTAATAAGAATGTTAGCAAATTATAATAAAAATTGTGGGTGTCAAGTGCCACAGATGATTGAAAATTGAGGCATTGAAAAAAATGTAATTTACTAATACAAGTATTTTATATAAGGTTTCCAATTTGGAAGAACAACTCGAGGTTGAAGCTCGTGACCGCCTGGCTCAAGCAAAGGCCAACCGCAAGCTGGAGAAGAAGCTGAAGGAGCTGGTCATGCAAGTGGAGGATGAGCGCCGTCATGCTGACCAATATAAGGAGCAGTTAGATAAAGTAAGTTACAATATTTATACATTATAGTTACTTGTCAGAATTTTATCTTTGTAGCTTGAATGATTGATGCATTATATGCATCAAATCTTATTGTGGATGATCTTTAAGCTCATATTTGTCTTGGAACATGCATAGTTGCAGTAGTAGCTTTTGCTGCATATAGGAAACAAATGTTCAATTTGGAGAATGAGTATAACTTAAGCTATGTATCCTGCAGCTTTTAATTCCTTGCATAAAATATTATCCTTTATTGTTACACAAATTATAATCATTATTATAAATTTTCAGTCAAATGCTAGAGTAAAACAGCTGAAGCGTACAATGGAAGAAACCGAGGATGAGTTGTCAAAGGAAAAGATGCAGCGTCGTAAAGCCCAACGAGAGGTAGAAGACATGATGGAATCACAAGAGGCACAGAACAGAGAAATATCTTCTCTCAAAACTAAACTCAGGTATAGTGCTCTTGCATAAAAATAATGGTCGTTGTGGAATGAAAGTGTCAGTAGTTATATAAAACAAACGAAGTGGAGAAAACACAAGCAAGCAACAACCTAAAAAAAAAAATAAAAACTATTTTTCTTTATTCACTTCGATTAGCCAGGGTCCACCTAGGACATTGATGAAATACTAGGCCCTTATTGACTTGTGGCACTGTCTTTCTTAATGATCTTATTACATTGTTGAGGAGGAGACTGGAGAAATATAACTATCCACAACTAGAGATACTGCACTTGACAATACAAAAGAACAAACCCTTATCACTGGACACCACCTTGGAGTGATACTATAATTTGATTCACTTGCAACTAATTATCTTCCTGCAAGTGAATTGGCCAGCTAAATACTTTGTATTGATTGACACTAGATGTTAATACTTGGCACTACAACTGTATCAGAGGAGTTGGCCACCCGCACTTGAAGCTAAAGTCTCATAAGCATGCCATTAATATCAAGACTTCAAGTTTTAAGAGCTAGTAATGGAACCTTGCAGACATAATTGGCTGTCCTGGTGACTGCAGATTCATCTCGAAGAGGGGTGTCGAGTGATATGGTTGGTGCTTTTTTATCATGGCAATCGGTAACTTTGGTGATAGGTCTCCCCATTCCAACTAAGCAGCAAGGCCATTTACAAACATCCCCATCTTGATGGGGAACACGTTGCCAAGGGCCTAGCATTGTGAGCTCTTTCCTGGGAGGACACTAACCAGGAACAAGGAACTGCTGAGGGAATATCTCAATTTATATTTTTGTAGTTTTTATTTTCATCTTTGTGGGATATTTAATGTAGACATACTGACTTTAAAGAGCATCTTTTAGATTTGTAAAAGAATTCCACATGCTGGATTGTCGTGAAAATAAAGTTACTAATTGGAGTTCATTAAAAAACAAAGATTCCTCTTAAGTGCTTGTTATAATTAAGAAAGTGAAGAATTTAAATTACAAGTTAGATAATATAAAACTGGAAAAAAGGTAATTTTTTAAAAAGATAATGTGGAGGGGAGGAAATTGGGGGTAGGCACAAATGACTCTAGAATGAAGAGGGAAATTTCTAATGTGACGTATCAGATGGTAAGGCTTCCAAGAGGTGCAAAGGCCAGCAGCATATTGCCTCTTGGATATGTTTACAGTTGCTAATGTGTTCATGGAATTGGATGCTCATAAATGGTTAACACCAGTTACATTACATACAAATTTATTATTGGTCTGTTTATGAGCCATTAAGTGACCAATTTGGGTATGGTGGTCCACTTTTCTTTTGCAGTAAGAGTAGTATGTTTTTAATAGCTTCCTGTGCTGTAGCAGGATGGCAGATAAGTTTACCAGTATTGCAGAGATTTGCCATATTGCTGCCCAGTACACAACATTTACTCCCACCTCTCATCATAGCAGATGGTAAAAAGAATGTATTTTATCATAATATTAACGTGACTCGGAAGTAACCTTGCCTAGTTTTGTGTATGCGCTTATCTACTCGTGTATACAAAATATTCATCGTGCGAGTCTTTTTACAAATACATGATTTTAGATATCTAGAATTAGCTGCAATTATTTAATTACAATGTTACTTTTAAAACCAAAGTCTGGAGTAGTGTGTGCTTTCTCAAATTTGTAGGCCGGCAGTAGGTACTGTTGTGCTTGAAATTGTGGATGCTTTATTTATTATTTGTAATATTATTTTTAGGCTTATTTTTTAATTTGAATTAGTACAAATAGATTTTCACAAAAAAATTGTCCAGTTGGACATAGTGGTGGAATATATTTCTTGACTTGCCCCATCCCCTCTTTCTATCTCTATCTATAACTTTCTTTAACTTTCTTTACCCCCTTCTCTCCCAGTGGGCACAATATCTAAGAGTAACATTAAGTTAAATTTGAATCAACATTGATAATGTTAATTCAACATTGGAGTAATGCTGAATCAATGTTACGTTAGGATATTGTGGCCATTGGGCTCCTAATGCTTTTCTGATATCTTCTTACTTTTCAATCTTTTTCTTGTTTCTTTCTTTTCCTAACCATCCTGTTTCTCATGCACTATCAAAATGCCTAGAATAGAGGTATAAAAATCAATGGTAATTTAATATCAACTCTGGTTATAGTAAGGATGTGTTTAAAACAAATTTATGGATTTATTACAAATTACTGATAAACTTAAAGCAAATAATGGAGCACTTGTTGCTGGAGTGTTTACATTCTGCAGGTTGTCTTGCTCTTTCCTTATTGCACTGTAGCGCCAAGAAATCTTCACTAGAACTGTCATTCTTGACTTTGGACTAAGCTGTTCAATTATGAATGCTTATTTTATGCCAGATGACATGGCCTACTTCGAATGCAGGTACAATTTTCGAGACTAGCAATAATGATTGTGTCAAGTAGAAATGAGCGAGACTGCAATTCAAAATGTTTTCTATAGAATTGTGCTCCAGTATAATTTTTGGAAAACTTACTACATTGACATGAGAGGATGGTGGATTAATTAAAGGTTTTTAAAGAAATTAAAAGTTGTGTTCACACACACATACACACTTTTGTTTTTTAGATGCATAATTTTTAGACATTTGATTTGAGAGTACCTATTGTTTGATGTATTGCAGCAGTAGTAAAATGGGTAGTCACATGCTGAGTAGTCGGAGGTCACTCACCACGACTACTATAACACCGGACGACCAGGAAGACTAGGCTCTTGTGGGTACCTCATAAATGGTCTTCATCCAGTAGACCTACTTTGAGTACTTCATGAATATAGTTATTTAGTTCTGCACTCTCTCTAGCTGCTACACCGTGCTTATTGCGCATAATTGCATTGGTGTCCTTAATTACAAATGTGATGTCATAAAAATTAAGTTACTTTCGTTCAGGAATTAATCGGTGATGGATGGGGCATGAAATTTGTAGATAATAGGAATCTAGCGACAGTAATTTAACATAGCACAGTATAACAAATTTTTAGTTATTAGTATGAATTTCTGTAAAAAAAAATCCCCTAATATACCTCTCTTTTGTGGCTGCTGTAGCCAAGCTGAAGCTGAAAAGGTCTTAAATCAAATCACGAAACGAACAAATCGTGGGCTGTGCAAGCTTACGAAGAATGCTTCAACTTCAAATGTGATTGATCTTGCTCAAGATTTGAGTAGCAGTGAAGACGAGAAGTTTGTTTTTTTTGGTTATTAGCCCGAGTAGTCAGGCAAGATGCCGTGTGTGCGAGTTGGAAACCATTACTACATAGGATAGTCTTGTATATTTGTGATAATTGGTGTTGTTCGTTTGTGATAATTTCAACCGCAGTTGGATTAAGTTGTATTCGTTTTGTAAGCTAATAACCTAACACATCAGTTTTGACTCGTTAGACTTACAGTACTACTGTCATTTTCTTACAGTACTATAGTTTTGCATGTTTTATTTGATGCAAGTACTTACAATTAGGTATTGGTATTTGTGAGTGGCTTGAAAATGAAACTGGTTGTCAAAACCATTTTTTCAGCATTTCCCATCCCCCCCTACAGATACTCCTCTCGGAAAGGTCACACGTTAGTAGTAACCTAATCCTATTTGCATGACATTTGTTGTATCCACGTACAGTATGACACTTTATGCACCGTAGTGTGAACATTATATATATATATATATGTATATATATATATATATATATATATATATATATATATATATATATGTATATGTATACTGTAATATATTAATATATATTTTTATATATATTAATATATATATGTTTATATTTGTCATGTGTCAAAGAAGCTTCCAGATTAAATAGCTTACTATTTTTGTTGTATGCATGCAGAATTGCCTGCTTGTTTGCAGTTTTGCTACGTGCACATATTTTCCATTCATCACTTTTCTCGTAAATTACTTGAAAATCTCATTTTGTAACAAACTTCAATTTACATCTTTACAAAAGCTTTTTGCATAGAGCTAAAACTTACTTAAACATGTACACAAAGTTTGAAGAATATCCTTGTAGAAGTGCTATAATTTTATGCCAAAGAAAATAAAATGTTTTGTTTGTTACCAGTGACTCGGTAAAGACTTTCTTTTTATTCTCTACCAGGCGTGGTGGTGCTGGAATTAGTTCTCGCCTCGATTTCTTGGGAGTGAAACGTGGCTCTATTGCTGCGGCAAGCGATGACTCTCAGAATGCAGATGATTCTGTGGATGGAGAGGAGGATGCTACCAAGTGAAGACCCCATGCACATCACATCATTGCTCGTAGGACATGCCCTTCTTGAGGGTTACCATTGTTAAATATTCTTCTCCAGAGAGGCTCTCCACTTCATTAATATGTACTGAGTAAATTATTTGCATATTTAGTCAACGGTGAAGTATGGGGGGGCGATGAGCTTCTAGTACTGTACTGCATTTTGGTTGGTGTGCCTGTTGCAGGAAATTGCCAACAATGGTTCAAGTGAAATTTAAATAGAACAAAACCTACTGGTATAACACTAAGTAGTGTTTACATGTGGTTATTAAATTGTATGTTAACTTTAAATATTTAGTTGAGAAAACAAAATTATTTATAGGGTTGTATCTGTTGGAATCGGTGTGCATTTTTGTTGAATTTGTTGCCATATTTGCATACCCAGTGAATGGACTGACAAATTATATTATAACATTCCACAAATTAGGGTGTTTTAGTGTTGGCATATTTGTACTTAATCCTTGAGGTGGATATTGGGTAAGAAAGAGCACAAAGTTGCCTCGTCCTAACTTCTGACAACTTCCAGCATGGGAAATGTTGGTACAGTTTAATTTAGGTACCTTAGTCCTACATTTGTGAAAAGCAGGTAGATGGTGGTTGTTGGGTGTAATGAAGGGGCAGTTAACCCTGGGAGTGAAATGTAAGAGGCAATAGTTGCCAAGCAACAAGTTACATTATCATAAATAAAGGATACAAGTACACTTGTGGTAACAAATGCTGTAGGTATGTTTGTGTTGGGAGGGGGGAGTGGGATTAGGTATATATATATAGACATAAGTTAATACTGGTCCATATAAACACATCCACATTACAAGTATGCCACCTGTTGCCAACAGTAAGGGGTTGAGCTTTGGTGGCTCTGGCAAACAAATTGCCATTGAATAGTATGAATCATGCATCCTGCATGTTACTTTTTTTACTGTCATAATACTTTTCCTAACTTTGTATCAAACTAACCATGAATGCTTCCAAACTGCAACAATGTATAGATAATGAATAACCTATTACCATTAGTTAAGAGCTACCTATATGACTATTATTGTTATGTATTATCATAATTACGGTTATCTTGTATAGTTGCCAGGCCAATTAGTATTTTAAAATTTTCTTATACATCCTGTACATACATGCATACATTTATATAGAGCTTAATTACAACCATCCATATAGTATTAGATATTTTGACAACATAGTTGTATGTGCACTGGTTGTATCACTGATTTTGAGTTATCACTATTTTACAAGTGACCTTAAAATTAAGCCATTGCTCATAGCAAATTGACCTCATTTTCGTGTATCAATCCCAAGTCTTGTTAGAAAATATGGCCTTATAGATGTAGAAGACACCCTGTGAAACATATTCTGAATAATAGTGGTAGATGGTTTTTGGGAAGTGATTTTCTGTACAGGATGGAAATAAGAAATATAGTAAATGACTTTGATTTGTGATTTAAGGTATAAAAGCTTCTATAAGGTGCTTTGTTTTGATATTGCCATTGCATTTGTTATTTTGAACTCTGATCATGTATTACATAGAATTTTGAATAAGCAAAGTTTTCTATAAAAGAGCAGGGTACAGCATTGCTTACCAGACAAGTTAGGGCCTAAAGAATACATGACATGTCAGTCAGGATGCACAAGTATATTATTTAACTGGTTTTAAAATTTTAAAAAATTCATGCAATGTTAGCCTTGCATAAATTTTTTTTTTTTTTTTATAATTGGAGTTCTTCAATGTTTAAATTTTAGTGAAGTTTGGTGCAAAAACACGTTTTGATAAACAATTTGAATAAGTTTCTGGGAGTTGCCTTGCGGTGGCAAAGTATTGCCCTCGGCTTTTAGGGACGAGAATATTATACCGTCCATGTTTCTGGCCCTCCATCTCTTCCTAGGAGGAGGGTGAGCAGAGGTGGGTGCTGAAGTTCCTATTCAGGGGAGATGTGCCAAGTGCATTTTATGTTTGTGATAAAGGTAATGAGCGATAAGTTGTTCTTTCAAAGAACTGGAGAATTATGGTAATGATAGATCAAAAGGCTAGTGGTCATATACAATTATTCATATTGAAATTCACTTGCCCATTTGTGTGTATTTGAGGATCTGGCAGCATCGAGCACATTTGTATATTTATAAATAGTAATAAATTTATATTTATATATACTTGTGGTGCACTCCAGCTGACTGCAATAAATGGCCTTGACAGTGTATGTGTTTCATTATTTTAAATTCATCTAGTTTTAAGTTTCATCTATTTTAACTGTCAATGGTCTCCTCATTGTGGGGGGGAGGCTAATGTAGGGGGTCAGTTGGGTTGCCTTGAACCCCTCTCTGGGGTGTTATGCTGGTCTCCTTTGTATGTACAAGTCACCTGTAGTCACCCATGAGTGGTCCACCTTTTGAGGTTGGTAGGGTGTCCAGGTTAGGGCAAGAGAGAGAGAGGGAGGTGTGTGCAAGTGGATGAATGGGCATAATAAACGGGATAGTTATTTAGGCAGTTGATAGTGGTAAGGTTTGTGATGTTGTGTACCTTGACTATAGCAAAGCTTTTGCTACAGGCTACACGAGACTGATTAAAAAAGATAGAGGCTCGTGTGTGGTATTGGGGGTTAAGTTGGATTAGGGCATGGTTATACCAAAGGAAACGGTATCGATGGGGTTAAGTAGAGTGAAAATGTTGTACGTGGAGTGCCTCAAGGCTCTAGCCTGGAACCTCTGTTATTCATAATATACAAATGATTTAGATTCAGGTTTGAGCAGCAATATTTTCAAATTTGCCAGTGATACAAAAATTGGGAGGGAAACAAGCACAGAAAGGGACTCGTTATATAGTAGTAGTGGACCCCATACCCAACCTGTTGGCAATAGTGGACCCTATACCTATTCTGTGGGCGATAGTGAACTCCATACCCATCCTGTGGGCAATAGTGGACCCCATACCTATCCTGTGGGCAGTAGTGGAGCCCATACCCATCCTGTGGGCAGTAGTGGACCCCATAACAATCCTGTAGGCGGTAGTGGACACCATACCTATCCTGTGGGCAGTAGTGGACCCCATACCCATCCTGTGGGCAGTAGTGGACCCCATCCTCTGGGCAGTAGTGGACCCCATACCCATCCTGTGGGCAGTGGTGGACCACATACCCATCCTGTGGGCAATGGTGAACCCCATACCAATCCTGAGGCAGTAGTGGACCCCATTCCCATCCTGTGAGCAGTAGTGGACTCCATACCCAGCCTGTGGTCGGTAGTGGACCCCATACCTAGCCCGTGAGCAGTAGTGAACTCCATACCCATCCTGTGGGCAATAGTGGACCCAATACCTATCCTGTTGGGCAGTAGTGAACCCCATACTTATCCTGTGAGGCAGTAGACGACCCCAGTCCTATCCTGTGGGCGGTAGTGGCCCTCATACCCATCCTGTGGGCAGTAGACGACCCAATACCTATCCTATGGGCAGTAGTGGACCCCATACCTATCCTGTGGGCAGTTGTGGACCCCATACCCATCCTATGGGGTCCGTCTAATTACCGCAAGCGACACAAAGCTTCCTGGCAATACGTTATAATGGATAAATATGATGGGTTAGGCTGACCTAACCAAACTTAACCTAACCAAACCTAACCGAACCGAAACTTGGATCGTCGACTTGATTTGGCGTCACCAGCTCTTTATTTTCGTCTAATTTCTCTATAAAAAGATACTTTTTCAGATTAAAATTATGTTTTTTCGTGTTGTACATTTAGCACCAACATTATAATGAGTTAATGTCATATTTATTCATTACTAACGTATTGCCAGGAAGCTTTGTGAAGCTTGTGTAGCTTGTGGTAGCTTGCGGTAATTAGACGGACCGATCCTATGGGGCAGTAGCGAACCCCATAACCATCCTGTGGACCCCATACCCATCCTGTGGGTGGTAGTGGACCCCCATACCCATCCTGTGGGCCGTAATGGACCCCATACCCATCCTGAGGGCGGTACTGGACCCCATACATGTCCTTTGGGCGGTAGTGGACCCCTATACCTATCGTGTAGGCAGTGGTGGACCCCATACGCATCCTGTGGGCAGTAGTGGACCCCCATACCCATCCTGTGGGCAGTAGTGGACCTCATACCCATCCTGTGGGCAGTACTGGACCCCATACCCATCCTGAGGGCAGTGGTAAACCCCATACCGATCCTGTGGGCTGTAGCGGACCCCATACTCATCATGTGGGCGGTAGTGGACCCCCGTACCCATCCTGAGGGCGGTAGAGGACTCCATACCAATCCTGTGGGCAATAGTGGACCCAAATACCTATCCTGTAGGGCAGTAGTGGACCCCATACCCATCCTGAGGGCGGTACTGGACCCCATACATGTCCTTTGGGCGGTAGTGGACCCCATACGCGTCCTGTGGGCAGTAGTGGACCCCCCCATACCCGTCCTGTAGGAGGTAGTGGACCCAATGCCCATCCTGTAGGCAGTGGTGGACCCTATACCTATCTTGCGGGCGGGAGTGGACCCCATACCCATCCTGTGGGCAGTAGTGGACCCCATACCCATCCTGTGGGCGGTAGTGGACCCCATACCACTCCTGTGGGCCGTAGCGGACCCCATACCCATCCTGTGGACGGTAGAGGACCCCATACCAATCCTGTGGGCGGTAGCGGACCCCATACCCGTCCTGTGGGCGGTAGGGGACCCCATACCAATCCTGTGGGCCGTAGCGTACCCCATACCCATCCTGTGGGCGGTAGTGGACCCCATACCCATCCTGTGGGCGGTAGTGGACCCCCATACCCATCCTGTGGGCGGTAGTGGACCCCCATACCCATCCTGTGGGCGGTAGTGGACCCCCATACCCATCCTGTGGGCGGTAGTGGACCCCATACCAATCCTGTGGGTCGTAGTGGGCCCCATACCCATCCTGTGGACGGTAGTGGACCCCATACCCGTCCTGTGGACGGTAGTAGACCCCCATACCAATCCTGTAGGCGGTAGTGGACCCAATACCCATCCTGTGGGCGGTAGAGGACCCAGTACCCCATCCTGTGGGCCATAGCGTACCCCATACCCATCCTGTGGGCGGTAGTGGACACAATACCCGTCCTGTGGCCGGTAGTAGACCCCCCATACCAATCCTGTGGGCGGTAGTGGACCAAATACCAATCCTGCAGGCGGTAACGGACCCCCTACCAATCGTGTTGGCGGTAGTGGACCCCATACCCATTCTGTGGGCAGTAGTGGACCATATGCCTATCCTGTGGGTAGTAGTGGACCATATGCCTATCCTGTGGGTAGTAGTGGACCCCCCTATACCCATCCTGTGGGCAGTGGTGGACCCCATACCCGTTCTGTGGGCAGTAGTGGACCCAATACCTATCCTGTGGGGAAGTAGTGGACCCAATACCTATCCTGTGGGAGGTAGTGCATCCCATACCCATCCTGTGGGCAGTAGTGGACCCCATACCCATCCTTTGGGCAATAGTGGACCCCATACCTGTGCTATGGGCAGTAGTGGACTCCATACCCAGGAGTGCTCCAGGGACACCCGGGAGTGCTCCAGGGACACCCGGGAGTGCTCCAGGGACACCCGGGAGTGCTCCAGGGACACCCGGGGGAGTGCTCCAGGACACCCGGGAGTGCTCCAGGGACACCCGGGAGTGCTCCAGAACACCCGGGAGTGCTCCAGGGACATCCGGGAGTGCTCCAGGACACCTGGAAGTGCTCCGGGGACATCCAGGAGTGCTCTAGTACACCCGGGAGTGCTCCACAACGTCCGGGAGTGCTCCAGGACACCCCAGGAGTGCTCCAGAACACCCGGGAGTGCTCCAGAACACCCACGAGTGCTCCAGAACACCCGGGAGTGCTCCAGAACACCCGGGAGTGCTCCAGAACACCCGGGAGTGCTCCAGGGACACCCGGGAGTGCTCCAGGGACACCCGGGAGTGTTCCAGGACACCCGGGAGTGCTCCAGGGTCACCCGGGAGTGCTCCAGAGACACCCGGGAGTGCTCCAGGGACACCCGGGAGTGTTCCAGGACACCCGGGAGTGCTCCAGGGTCACCCGGGAGTGCTCCAGGGTCACCCGGGAGTGCTCCAGAACACCCGGGAGTGCTCCAGGAACACCCGGGAGTGCTCCAGGACACCCGGGAGTGCTCCAGGGACACCCGGGAGTGCTCCAGAACACCCGGGAGTGCTCCAGGGACATCCGGGAGTGCTCCAGGACACCTGGAAGTGCTCCAGGGACATCCAGGAGTGCTCTAGTACACCCGGGAGTGCTCCACAACATCCGGGAGTGCTCCAGGACACCCCAGGAGTGCTCCAGAACACCCGGGAGTGCTCCAGGACACCCGGGAGTGCTACAGGGACACCCGGGAGTGCTTTAGGAGACCCCGGGAGTGCTCCAGGAACACCCAGGAGTGCTCCAGAACACCTGGGAGTGCTCCAGGACACCCCGGAAGTGCTCCAGGAACACCCAGGAGTGCTCCAGAACACCCGGGAGTGCTCCAGGGACACCCGGGAGTGCTCCAGAACACCCGGGAGTGCTCCAGAACACCCAGGAGTGCTCCAGAACACCCGGGAGTGCTCCAGGGACACCCGGGAGTGCTCCAGAACACCCGGGAGTGCTCCAGAACACCCGGGAGTGCTCCAGAACACCCGGGAGTGCTCCAGAACACCCGGGAGTGCTCCAGGACACCCCGGGAGTGCTCCAGAACACCCCGGAGTGCTCCAGGGACACCCGGGAGTGCTCCAGAACACCCAGGAGTGCTCCATGGACACCCGGTAGTGCTCTAGGACACCCGGGAGTGCTCCAGCGACACCCGGGAGTGCTCCAGAACACCCGGGAGTGCTCCAGGACACCCGGGAGTGCTCCACGGACACCCAGGAGTGCTCCAGGGACACCCGGGAGTGCTCCAGAACACCCGGGAGTGCTCCAGAACACCCGGGAGTGCTCCAGGACACCCGGGAGTGCTCCAGGACACCCCGGGAGTGCTCCAGGGACACTCGGGAGTTCTCCAGAACACCCGGGAGTGCTCCAGAACACCCGGGAGTGCTATAGGGACACCCGGGAGTGCTCCAGAACACCCGGGAGTGCTCCACTGACACCCGGGAGTGCTACAAGGGCATCCGCGAGTGCTCCAGAACACCCGGGAGTGCTCCAGGACACCCGGGAGTGCTACAGGGACACCCGGGAGTACTCCAGCAAACCCGGGAGTGC